TCAGATGCAATATTGATTCTGTGGGCATCATATTGAATGATGCAAGAAGCATCCAAAATGATAGAAAGTCACTACCAAAAAGAAATAGTGGACATTCCACCATTTCAGGAAGTAGCACATTAGCAAGAGTCAATGGTGCTGAAGGAAAAAGCTTAAGCTACACTGAAAACATTAGCCAAAAACAGGGTTGTAGGAATTGATGAAATACCAATTGAAATGTTTCAGCAGGCTGCTGAAGCACTTGGAGCATTCACTGTTCTATGTCAGGAAATTTAGCTAACTGACAGGAAGAGATCCACATTCTCAGCCATTCCAAAGAAAGGTGACCCAGTAGAATGTTCAAATTGATATTACGTGCATGTAAAAGTTTGTTGAGGATCATCTAACAGCAGTTACAGCAATACACTGACAGGCTCTGCCAGGGGTTAAGGCTGTAGTATTCAGAAGAGGATGTGAAACAGTGATGCTGGTGTCAGATGGATCTTGGCTGAAAGCAGTGAATACCAGAAAGATATTTACTTGTATTTTATTGACTATCCCAAGACATTCAACTGTGTGGATCGTAAAACTGGATAACCCGTAAGAATGGGACTTCCAGAACACTTCATTGTGCTCATGCAGAACTTGTGTACATGGATCAAGAGGCAGTTGTGTGAGCATAGCAAGGGATTCCTTCATGGTTTAAAATCAACAAGGGTGTGCATCAGGGTTGTGTTCTCTCAACATTCTTACTCAATCTGTTGCTGAGCAAACCATCAGAGAAGCTAGTATGTGAAGAATGTGGCATCAGGATTGGAGGAAAGCTTTTTTAACCTAAGATATGCAGATGATACATCCTTGCTTGCTGAAAGCGAGGATTTAAAACACTTGAATCAAGGATTGCAGAGTTCAGTATGGATTACAGCTCATTGTAAAGAAGACCAAAATCCTCACAACTGGACCAATAGGTAACCTTATGGTAAATGGAGAAAAGATTGTTGTCAAATATTTTGTCTTGGTTAGATCCACAATCAGTGTTCATGGAAGCAGCGGTCAAGAAGATATCAAGAGACGTGTTGCATTGGATAAATCTATTGTGCAAGACCTCTGTAGAGTATTCAAAAGCAAGGGTGTTACTTAGAGGACTAAGGTGCACCTTACTCAAAGCCATGGTATTTTCAGTATGCCTGTGGAAATTGGATATTGAATAAGGAATACCGAAGAATAATTGATGCATTTGAATTGTGCTGGCAAAGAATATTAAAAGTACCATGGACTGCTAAAAGACAAACAAATGTATCTGGGTAGAAGCACGGTTAGAGTGCTCCTTAGAGGCAGGAATGGGTGAGTTTCATGTACTTTGGACATGTCAGGAGAGCCCAGTTCCCAGAGAAAGACATAGTGCTTGGTAAAGTAAAGGGGCAGTGAAAGAGAGGAAAACCTTCAGTGTGATGGATTGGCACAGGGGCTGCATTAATGGGCTCAAGCCGAGGAACAATTGTAAGGACGTCCTAGGAGCAGGCAGTGTTTTTTCCTGTTGTGCATAGGGCCACTGTGGGTTGGAGCTTACTCGATAGCACTAAACAACAACAATGTGGAGAAAAACAATGAGCTAGGGGTCACCATATTATAAATGCATATATATGTTCATAGTTCACTTCATTGAAAAACAAACAAATAAGTGCTTGTTCTTGGTGATAACTTAGATGCCTTAGAAATAAAGTAAGTGGCCAGAAATGGGAAGAGACTGGTTCACTGGGTTTTAAACTGGATAGGATGCACCATCTATTAGTTTTTAAAATCTCTCTTAACTAAGCATAAATAGGGTAGAGGTCTTGATTGTGAGGATAAATAGTACATAATTCATAGTCTTATTAATAAGTTATAGGATTAACATTTTTTAGTAAATTAGGTCATAGTAGAACAGTTTTAGACTAAAAAGTAGTAGAGAAGCCTCCCATACAAAAGTAAAAGAACTAAACAGAAAATTTCATAGGGCAACTCAGTAGGTCAGAGCATTATAATGCTACGCGCAAAAGACCTGGACTTAGAAGACAGCTGGAATAGCATGCTCAGAATTCCTTAAGCTGAAAAAAATCCAGCACTCAAGTTAATATATTTAAAAGATTCCATCAGTAAAATGCTGAATGGTGCAAGAAACATCTTTTTAAATGATAGAAGGGCCACAAAGTCACTGCCAAAAAAGAATTGGTTGACATTAACCCATATCTGGAAGCAGCCTGTGACTGAGAAATTATGATATTGAAGGTAGAATTCTAAGCTGCACTGAAAGCATTATTGAATAACAAGACTTCAAAAATTGATGGAATATCAATTGAAATGTTTCAATAAGGTGATGAAGTACTAAAAGTACTCACTGGTCTATGCCAAGAAATTTGGAAGACCTGGCCAACCAGTTGAAAGAGGTTAATATTTTTGCCCATTCCAAAGAAAGGTGATCCAACAATGCAGAAATTATCAAACAATACCATTGTTTCATCTCACTATCACCAAGTCAATGGCGACTCATAGTGACACCCCTAAACCCCCATGGGTTTCCTAATCTATAACTGTTTACGAGAGTAGAAAGCCCAGTCTTTCTCTCACGGAGCTGCTGGTGGTTTTCAACTGCTGACCATGGTGATTGCAGCCCAACTATAAACCATTATAGCCCCAGAGCTCTACAAATAAAATTCTCTCAAAGACTATTTAAAAATGGTTTCAGCAGCACATCAACAAGAAGCTGCCAGAAATTCAAGCTAAGACTCAGAAGAGGATGTGAAATGAGAAATTATTGATGGCATCAGGTGGATCTTGCCTGAAAGGACAGAATGCCAGAAAGATGTTTATTTTTTGTGTTATTGGTCATGAAAAGGCGTTCAACACGTGTGGGTCATGATAAACTACGTATAACATTACAAAGAATAGAATTCTAGAACACTGAATTGTGCTAAGGTGGTACCTTATATAGACAAAGAGGCAACCATTTGAACAGAACAAGGAGATAACTGCATAACTTAAAATCAGAAAAGTGTGTGTCAGGATTGTATCCTTTCACCATACTTAATCTGTATGCTGAAAAAATTATTAAAGAGGCTGGACTATATGAAGAAGAACACAGCATGAGAACTGGAGAAAGGTTTATAAACAGACTGTGCTACGTAGTTGACATAACCTTGGTTACTAAAAGGCAAGAGGACTTGAAGCTTTTGGGGTGAAGAGCAAAGACTACAGCCTTCAGTGTGTGTTACAGCTCAACATAAAGTATACTAAACTACTAACAACTGGGCCAAAAGAAATATTGTGATAAACACAGAGAAGATACACACAAGAATTTCATTTTGCTTGGATCCATAGTCATTGCCCATGGAAGCAGCAGTCAAGAAATCAAATGTTGTATTGCACTGACCATTTGAGAATGTTAAAGAGTAAGGATGTCATTTAGAAGTGTGCTTGGCATGAGCCATGGTATTTTCAGTTGCCTCATATACTTGTAAAGGTTGGTTAATGAATAAAAACTGAAGAAGTAAGGCCTTTGAATTATAATGAATAATCAAAATACCATGGACTGCCAAAAGAAGTAAACAGATCTTTCTTGAAGGAAATACAGCTAGAATTCTCAGAAGTGAAGATGGTGAAACTTGTACTATACATGTCGTCAGGAGAGACCAGTCCCTGGAAAAGGAAAACTGTTTGGTGAAGTAGAGGATCCGAGATAAAGAGTAAGACTCTCTAGGAAGCAAAGCTATGAATAGAGGATAGCTATGGTGTGCACTTATGTAAATATATTAATTCATAGAAATAGAGCTATTGGGCTATATACGTACATTTATATGGCAATACGTTGAGTAAGTGGACAGACTTTGGGCCTCTGCTCAAGCCCTCCCTCAACGCAAGAACACTGTTCTAACAGCCTGGCATTCTGTGATGCTCATTCCCTGCCACGATCACTGAAGACAAAAAGGGTGTATAAGAATATGTGAAGAAAGCTGATGGTGTCTAGCTATCAAAAGATAAAGTATCTGGGGTCTTAAAGCCTTGAAGTTCAACAAGCAGCCATCTAGCACAGAAGCAACAAGTCCACATGGAAGAAGCACATTTGCCTGTGTGATAATGAGGTGTCAACAGGATCAGGTAACAGGCCTCAGAAGACCCCAAACAAACAAACAAACATTGTTGAGAACAAGGGGAGTCAGAGCAGAGACCCCCAAACCCATCTGTAGACAATGGGCATCCTCTCCCAGAAGGGTCACAAGGAAGGAGTCAACCAGGGCACAGTATAGCACTGATGAAACACAATATTCCTCTGGTTCCTTAAGGCTTCTTTACTCCTCACTATCATGATCCCAGTCCTGCCTTTCACTGCGGGTTAGACTGGCGCATGTTCACAGGAACAGATAAGAGCTTACAACACGTGGGATCCAGGTCAGAAAAGTCCTCAGGAACAGAAATGGGAGTAGTGATACCAGGAGGGTAGGGGGAAGGTGGTGGGGATACACTGACGGAAGAGAGACAGCGGTCGGTATAAAATAGGAAAATAATAATTTATAATTTATCAAGGGGTTGCAAGGGGGGAGGAGGGAAAAAAGAGCTGATACCAACAGCTCAAATAGAAAGTACATGTTTAGAAAATAATGATGGCAACATTTGTACAAATATGCTTGATACAATTGAGGTATGGATTGATATAAGAGCTATAAGAGCCCCAATAAAAATTTTTTTTTTTAAAGGAGTAAGACTCTCAGTGAGATGGATTGATGCAGTGGCTGCAGCAGTGAGTCCAACATAACAATGGTGGGGCTGGCAAAGCAGTGTCGAAATGGACAGCATAGTCCTCCTATGTTATTGACATGGAAGAAGCACGTTTCCTTGGGCTTCTCTTGGTGGTGGCAGTTTTAACTTATTTCTCATAGGTCAAAAAGGACTTTATACTTTCTTTAAAACCCAGAACATGTCGACTGAGGAGACAGTTTAGAAGAACGTTGATGTGACCCTTGGGTTCATTGCCTTTTGTATTTCAGGCACTCTGTGAATGTGCCCTTCAGACTCCTTATGACACCTTAAAACTCGGCGTGTTGTCCGTCCTTTCCACGCTGTCAGGGACCATCGCCATCAAACAGTACTTCAGCCTAGCTCCAGGTAAGGAGCAGAACGTAGGTAATGTATAGGTAATGTGCTCTCATCTTTCATACTGTTTTTTCTGGTTATGTCCTTTGAAGCTTGAAAATCAGGAAAGGTTTCAACCTTGACTTGTGGTATTAATCTGATCTGTTTGAAGATGATTTCTTAACTAATGGCATAATTCTTCATCCTTGATTTTTTTTTTATCCTTGATCTTAACTCAAGGATATTGCTTTTCTAGATTTGCCCTTTTTTGAATTTATATGTATATTTTTGAGGATGCTTAAAATAACTGGCTTTTATATATCTCTGACTCAAAGTGCCCTTTGGATTTAAGAGCATCTCAAAAGGCCAAGTGGTGGTGAATTTTCAAAACAAATGTCATGTGCTTCCTTTCAGATGTATATTATCCTTTGGCAAATGATTACAATAAAACTCCAGTTCAATAATACTTTCCTAGTTGTTTATTAAAGAAGACTAACTCCAGAATACTTTCATTGATGCCCAGTGATAAACTTGCTTATCTGACAATTGGATTGTTTTTATTTTAAATGCAAAAGTTTATGGAACATTGCCAAAAAAGTGGCTTGCCAACACCATGTTAATTTGAGTTGAATTAATAAAGAACTGTAGTGGACATTGTCCTTTTCATGCCCTCATAGCATATAAGCTTACTTTCTGGGTGAAGGAATCCCCTGCCATTTAAGTCTTGATAGGAGACTGCAGAAGACCCGATAATCTCTTGCTGAGCTTCCATTCCAGCTTGGTTGCACACATGTGGCCTTAACTTGATTATTCATTCCCTGAACCACAAACTGAATTGGGATCCATAGAAAAACCAGCTAGGGCATACAGAGCCTATTCTGGGGAAACAGCAATCAGTGCAACAACATCCATTTTCCAGGGTAAACTATAGCAAACATTGTTTGCCCTGTAAGTAATAAGTAACAACTCATGGATTGATTCCATGGTTTCTACTGCGATCTTGGTTGCTTATTAGCCTTGCTGAATAGTCCTGCCGGTTTTCTGAGCTTAGTTTGTAGAAATTTCCTGAGCAACCCTGTATCACTTACCTATTGCTACAAACCACCCCAAAACTACTAGCTTAAAATCTTGGCTGATATTTTTCTCCTATCCTGGGAGTTAGCAAGTTTAACTGAGCTTTCAGCTGGGCAGTACTGCTAGTTTCACATGGAGTCATTCATAATGTCTATAGTGGTCTAGAACCATGAGCAAGATTGTTTTAAGAGGGCCTCATTTACAGACTGACAATTAAATGGCTTTCAGCTAAAGCCCATAGTTTTTCCTCCATATGATACTCCAGCAAGCTAACTTGGGCTATGTTTACTCTATGTTTTCAGCATGCTAGGTATAAACCATAAACACATGAGTGCTTTCCAAGTTCTTTTGAATGCATTATCTTTTCTAATGTCCCATTGGCCAAAGCAAATGAGATGGCCAACCTCAGAAAGGCCATGGCACAGTGGATTAAGCATTCGACTGACAAACCCAAGGTCAGTGGTTCAAACTCACCTCTAGCTCCTTCAGAATATGATGAGACTTCCTGCTTCTAAAAAGATTTACCGCCTTGGAAACTTAAGAACAGTTCTACTCCATCCTGTAGGGTCACCAAGAGTCAGGATCAATTCAGTGGCAGTGGGTTTGGAAGAAAATAATGGAAAAGTCCCATTGCAAAGAGGAATGTCCACAGAGGATAAAAGAGTTTATTACTGGCTTTTTTTGGTAAACAATCTGCCCTATACCTAATGTACTTCTAATAAATTTTTTTCCTGCATAAGTCTCCATTTCTTAGCTCATAGTTATCATCCTTTACTGACATCACACTTTGAAAGAGCTTTGGTAGGCAATGAATTAGAAATACCATAAAATTTATGAGCTATTCAATACTGGCTTTCATTGATTCTTTAAGTAGCCTTTAACGTTAGCAGATACAAGTTTATAAGCATTGAAAATGAAGCTCACAAATGTTCCATGATAACAGGTCTAACTTAAAAATAATTCACCAACTGTATTGTTGTCAAGTTGAAACTGACTCATAATGGCCCTATTGGACAGAGTAGAACTGCCTCATGGTTTTTAAGACTATAATCTTTATGGAAGCAAGCTACCACATTTTTTTCCCCCGGGCAGAGGCTGGGTTTTTTTTGGTCTTGTTTTGTTTTTGTGCTTTTGTTTCTTTCTATTTTTAGTCATTTTATTGGGGGTTGTTATAGCTCTTATCACTATCTATACATACATGCATTGTGCCAACACATTTGTACATATGTTGCCATCATTTTCAAAACATGTTCTTTCTACTGAGCCCTTGGTATAAGCTCAATTTTTCCCCTCCTTCTATGGCCCTTCCTCCTCCATGAAACCTTGATGACTTATAAATTATTATATTTTCTTAACTTACATCGACTGCTGTCTCCCTTTACCCACTTTTCTGTTGTCTGTCCCCCTGGAAGGGGGTATATATAGATCATTGTGATCGGTTCCCCATTTCTCCCCTACCTTCTCTTTACCCTCCTGGTATCGCTACTCTCATTATAGGTCCTGAGGGGTTTATCTGTCCTGGATTCCCTGTGTTTCCAGCTCTTATCTGTACCAGTGTACACCCTCTGGTCTACCCGGATTGGGATCATGATATTGGGGTAGGGGTGGGGGGATTAAAGAACTAGAAGAAGAAGAAAAGAGAACTAGAAGAAAGTTGTATGTTTCATCAGTGCTATACTGCACCCTGACTGGCTCGTTTCCCCTTCTGTAAGGGGATGTCCAATTGTCTACAGATGGCTTTGGGTCTCCACTCTGCACTCCCCCCTCATTCACATTGATAAGATTTTTTGTTCTGGGTCTTTGATGCCTGATACCTGATCCCATCGACATCTCATGATCACACAGGCTGGTGAGGGCTTTGTTGCTTCTCAACTACATAGCCACTTGTTTAGCTTCAAGCCTTTAAGACCCCAGACGCTATATCTTTTGATAGCTGGGCACAATCAGCTTTCTTCATCACATTTGCTTATGCACCCATTTTGTCTTCAGTGATCATGTTGGGAAGGTGAGCATCACAGAATGCCAGGTTATTAGAACAAGGTGTTCTTGCCTATGAGGGAGTACTTGAGTAGAGGCCCAATGTCCATCTGCTACCTTAATACTTAATATTTCCCTAACATCATATAAATATATTTACATATGTACATGCCTGTATTTAGACCTCTATAACTATCCTTTGCCTCCTAGTTCTTACCTCTATTTCCTTTTACTTTCCTCCAGTCCCACTATCATGCTCAGCCTTCATTTGGGTTTCAGTAATTCCTCTCAGTTACATAGCACTTGATCAATCCCTACCAGGACTCCTATATCCTCCTCACCATCAATTTTAGATCACTTGTTGTTCCTTTGTCCCTGGGTTTGTTAACACCCACTTCCTTTCCCCACCTCCCCCTCTCCCATGTCCCCCCAGAACCACTGGTCCCATTGTTTTCTCCTCTAGCTTGTTTATCCCGCCTATCTTATCTACATAGACCTGCAGAGATAGTAATAAGCACAAAAACAAGACAGCAAAACAACAAAAAAAGAAAAGCCTGTAAATAGTTCAAGGTCTATTTTTGGTATTCCCTTAGGTCTTCCTTGCTCTGCTCCCCTTACTGTTGTGTTGCACGCCCTTAGTGTTTTGCCTCAGTGTGGTGCAGTCAGATCAGGGCCAGTTCCTGCACTGTGTCTCTAGTGTTGTCCCCCGTAGGGCTATGGGTCAGTGAGGTATGTTGTGTCTTGTAGTAGGGCTGGCCATATTGTACTCTCTGTGGATTGGCTGCTCTGAGCGGGGATATCGTCCCCCTCCCTCATGAACCCCTCATAATTCATAAATTATTATTTTGTCATATGTTACGCTGTCCGACATCTCCCCCCCTCCCCCTGCTCTCTTCTCTGCTGTCCATCCCCCAGGGAGGAGGCTATGCGTAGATTCTTGTAATTGGTTCCCCCTTTCCACTCCACATTCCCTCCACCCTCCAGGCATCGCCACTCTCACCACTGGTCCTGAAGGGATCATCTGTCCTGGATTCCCTGTGTTTCGAGTTGCTATCTGTACCAGTGTACATCCTCTGGTCCAGCCAGATTTGTAAGGTAGAATTGGGATCATGATATTGGGGTGAGGAAGCATTTAAGAACTAGAGGAAAGTTATATGTTTCATCATTGCTACCCTGCACCTGACTGGCTCATCTCCTCCCCACAACCCTTCAGTAAGGGGGTGTCCAGTTGCCCACTGATGGGCTTTGTGTCTCCACTCTGCACTCACCCACATTTACAGTGATATGATTTTTTGTTCTTTGATGCTTGATACCTGATCCCTTTGACAGCTCGTGGCCACACATGCTGGTGTGCTTCTTCCATGTGGGCTTTGTTGCTTCTGAGTTAGATGGCTGCTTGTTTATTTTCAAGCCTTTAAGACCCTAGACGTTATATCTTTTGATAGGCGGACACCATCAGCTTTCTTCACCACATTTGCTTATGCACACGTTTGTCTTCAGTGATTGTATCGGGAAGGTGGGCACCCACTGGTATGATTTTTAGTTCTTTGATGTTTGATAACTGGTCCCTTGTACATCTTGTCGTCATACAGGCTGGTGTGCTTCTTCCATGTGGGTTTTGATGCTTCTCAGCTAGATGGCCGCTTGTTTATTTTCAAGCCTTTAAGACCCCAGACGTCTTTTGATAGTCGGACACCATCAGCTTTTTTCACCACATTTGCTTATGCACACATTTTTCTTCAGCAATCGTGTCGGGAAGTTGTGCATCATGGAATGCCAATTTAATAGAAAAATGTGTTCGTGTTAGCAAAATTCTTAATTTTGGGGGCCTTTGATTTCTTCTGTAAAAGTAGGATGTTGAATCAGATGATCCTTAAATCCTTTCCAAGTCTAAAATTGTGAACTCTTACATAAAATTTTGAGGTTTAAATATAAAACATGTATGCCAGCAATTCGAGTTGGAAAAACAAACTTAAATTTTGGGGCTTCTCTTTCCTCTTTTTCTCTCTCACTTTGATCTGACAAGGAGCCTGTAGTAGTATCATTTTATCAGAATCCCTTTTTGCCCCCATGATACCATCGATACTTGTTACAGCTTTTGCATTGTTCTGTACTGTTTTTATTCTTTTATGGAAAGTTTCATATTGATTTTAGCTCGTAGTTGAAAAATAGCTGGCACATGTCTAGTGTTAAGTACCTTTACAAGGGAAGTTAAAATGGTGGTGTATATTGATGGTAGGTTGAAATAGAAACATCAGGTAAAGTTTCTTGTTAACATTTTCTCTTGAAAAAGAAAAAAATGACTTTATAAACTAATTTTCTTAAAGCAAGCTGTGAGTTATAGTGTATGCTAATTTTCTGTTTAGGAAATCTGAGTTCTTCCCCTAGATCTTTGGATTTAGTCAAATTAGCCCAAGAGTGCTGTTACCACAATAACAGGGGCATTGCTGCACATGGAGTGAGAGTCCTAACCAATATAACTGTCTCTTGTCAAGAAAAAGGTAAGTTCATTTAGGAATGATTTTGTGAACAAACTTTGCTTTGAATTTTAGGTAGAATTATTTGTGTATTTAGTTTTTTAATCCGTTATTACTCCTGGTATATGTCTTTTGATTTCTTAGTAGCCTCCTTCAAAAATGCTCTTGCAACAGGCTTTTGCAAGACTACTATTCTTTGTGAAAAAAATTTTTTAGGGATTTGGGGATTGGTATTGTGAAGTATTGCCTACTTCTTCCCACTGTTAATACTTGCACGTAAGATCCTATTGATAGAGATTACCATGACAGCCTGTCCACTTTTACAAAAATCTAGAAACATTTGGGGGGGAAAATTATCAAGGTGCTTAAATACATAGTTTCCCTGAGAGGCATGTAAATTAAAATTGCGCAGACTTTCTCTAGATATCTGTAAGCATTAAAATGAATTGAGTAATTAAGGAGGAAGTACAAAGAAAATAGTGCATATATTTTGCTTGATCATAAGATTTGAAAGGCTCATACATTGTTCAAAAACAAGAATGCACTTTGGATAGTTCATCACTCATTTTGATCTTTATAAAGGATTAAAAACTCATTACTCCGTCTCACTCCAGTAGCCTTTAGCACTGCTAGTTCTAGTACCTAGTATTCTCTTAGAACCAAGACTTTCCCTAGCATTCACAATGTGTGCCAAGCCCCCACGCCAACTTAGGAGGCATCTCTTTACATTGTATGTTGATCTTTATTTAAATAATTAAACTTATTTTGTAATGAGTTTTTGCATGTGACAGAAAATTACTGTTATGTTTTCAAAGCTGACATACAGAAGGATAAGTGAAAAATATTACTACAGAATCATAGAAACCTCTTTTGTTTGTTTGTTTTTCAACATAGCTGCTGTCTAGTTTATAGGATAAACCCAGGAGCCCTGTTAGCCACAAGGTTAGCAGTCAAAACGATCAGCTTCACTGTGGGAGAAAGATGAAGTTTTCTGTTCTCATAAAGGGTTACATGCTCGAAACCAACAGGGACAGGTCTACCATGTTGATATGAGTTGAAATCAAGTCAGTATTGGTGAATTTGATTTTTTTTAGAGGTTCATAGTGCAGAATTTATACAGTTCTACAGGCAGTATCTCCATCTTTCTAACCCTGCATGAAGGTATTCTATGCTCTTTGATTTACACTATCTCAGAATATTAGTTTGTGCATCCTTAAAAGACTCAAATCGTGTTTCTTTGGAATGTTCTTTGAATTTGGGGAACAAAAAGCATTCTGAAGGGGCAAGATCAGGGCTAAAGGGTGGCGTAAGGCAAACTTTAATGAATTTGTCTAGTGACAGTTCTTGTGCCTATCTAAGAATAACTTGTTCCTCCCATAGACTAAGTAGGTGTATTGTCCTGATAGAAAAAAATTTCCTAGGTGCAGTTTTTCCAGCCTTTTTCTCACCAATACCATTTCCCATTTTCTTAGAACTTCTTCATAATAAGCCCTGTGATCTTTGAAAAAACTATCAAGATTATCCCTTTGGCATATGAAAAAAGTTGCCATAATTTTCTGAACCGACCTCGCTATCTTGAATTTAGCTACCTCCTTGAAAGTCACTTGGCCCTTTCATTGGACCTTTTTAAAAAGTGACCCTGTGAGACCAAGATAAGTGTGTTACTGAGAGAGCCAGCGTGTAGTCATCCACTGATCACAGAGACATGTTTATGCACGTTTTGTTTGAAATAAACCCAGTCATGTATAACCTGAAGCCCTACTAGAAATACTTTCTGGCTCACCATCATACACCTTAAATACCAAAACCAAACCAAACTCAATGCTATCTCCTGGATTCTGACTCATAGCAACCCTGTGGGATCGCTACCGCTACCCGACCGCTGTGAGTTTCCAAGAGGGTAACAACTCTTTACAGGCAGAGAAAGCTAGTCTTTCTCCCATTGAGCTGCTAGTAGTTTAGAACTACTGACCTTGTAGATCAAACCCTAAAGAGTAACTACTACATTACCAGGCGTTGGAACTCTGTGGATGGAACCTTTAGGGAAATTTTATCCTTAAGGAAGTAAAAAAATGTTACAGTAGTGTTTTACATGAAACCGTAAAGGGTTAATTATTTTATAGTCAGACTTAAGCACTAATGACATTTTTTAGGGTCTTTGTTATATCCTGAAAATGGTTTCACTTTCATTAGAAGCTAAAAATCACTCACTGTTCCTATTATTACCTTAGCTAAGTTGGTAACATTATTTTATTATTCATTATTTATACTTTGGCTTGATTTAATGTGTGTATGCTTATAATCTTCATTAAAGTAGCAGAAATACTGCAGTTCAGAAGTAAAAGTACATGCATAGTTTTTCAGGAAGATTAATTTTAAGCATTTGTGTTTTCCTATATCTTCAGTTTCTTAAATTCGTGTGTGTATGTGTGTTTAATCATCTCTGCTTGGCCATTATAAAACTTAATGTCTGCCCTCTAGACCTACTGGCACTGGAACAAGATGCTGTCTTTGGCCTGGAATCCCTGCTCGTACTTTGTAGTCAAGATGACAGTCCAGGTGCTCAAGGCACTTTAAAGGTGAAAACGTCACTGAGTTTTAAATAATCCCCATTCCCATTGCCTAACTAAGAGTAAAGGGGTCAGATAGTAAAAATTTGAAACTTTGCTTACCATATGCTCTCTGTCACATTTGCTCAAGTGTACCATAGCTGAACAAAAACAGCCCTTGACAGTGTGTGTGTGTGTGTGTGTGTGTGTGTGTGTGTGTGTGTGTTTAAGGGAGGGTACCTGTGTTCCAATAAAACTTTATTTACCAAAGTAGGCAGGCTAGTTTAGGCCTACAGACAATAGGATGCTGACCCTTGGCAAATATAAATATTGGTCCTTGATCTTCCTTTCACTACTGACCTTTCAACTCGATGGTATTCCAGATGATAGATAAAGTGAAAATCTGAGCTTTAGCACATTTTGCCGTCAACTGTGTTTATTAAGTTATAATAGATTCATAAGTATGCATCTAGACTATATAAAGCAAAGAGGAATAGGTAGAGCTTCTGCATTCTTGGAAATTATAATTAGAGGTAACACTGATAAGAATACATAAGAAACTTGATGGAATGACTACAGCCAAATTAATAAATGTATGTGTTTGTTAGTTTCCCAAACACAGAAACTCTAGTTTATAAACCAAGAGAATTTTCTATGTAGTCCTTGGTGACCCAAGCCTACAGAAACTGGAACTTTAGACTCTCTTTTTGAGGCACACAGCATCCTTCATGGACCTCACTAGAAGGATGAGATCTGGAAACTCCACTAAACAAACTAGGCTTTATCTTAAACTCACCTGTAGCATATTTAAGGAACTGACATACTCCCTTGGATTTAAGGCTGAAAGACCCTCGTCTGAGAAGAAAGAGATGGCCTCCATCCCAAGATTATGGAAGTGATGGTCGTTGGCCTTTGGTTTGGATCTCTTTTCTTCAGGGTGCCCAATGAATGATGTCCTGGGTTTTCCATAATTTACTATTTTAATGCTCTCTTTGCTTTTTTATGACATGTGTAAGGCTGGCAGACATGATTCTGACTTTGTAAATGATATTACTGAAAGTGTTGCCTTATCTCCAACCCCGATTGTTCGTGGAAACAGTATCCAGTCACTTTAGCTTACGATCTGTACAGGTCAGCAGTTCATGTATTGTGGTCTGAAAAGCTGGCCTGTACATGTATAATTTCATTTTATGAACAGTGTTTTAAATTCTATACCATTGGCTAAATTAATGATACTATCAATAGAATTATCATATGTCCATGGGGATGATTTATAACATTCCTCAATAAAGTAACAATGATGTCTGAAGTGAACCAGAGACTATATAAACGATAGATATATGAATGGATTTGGGACTCACACTTAATTCTAGCTCCAATCTAAGAAGAATTTGTTCCGTGATTTGTTCCTGCTTGATGCTCACTTTCATGAAGAGATAGATCCCTGAAGATGAGGGTGCTATAGCTAAGTGTGGTGAAGAAACCCTCTGATGCCCAGCTATCAGAAGCAATAGCATCTAGGGTCTTAAAGGCTTACCGTATATGCTCGAGTATAAGCCAACCTGAATATCAGCCGAGGCACATAATTTTACCACAAAAACTGCATTAAAAATGTGCTGAAAAACTCAGCTTATACACAAGTATATATAGTATCTTCAAACAAGTAGCCATCTAAATGAAGCATCACTGAATAAGTCCACATAGAAAAAGCACACCAGCCTGTGTGATCAAAGGATCATAAATAGTAAAATCCAAATCCAGATGGGACTTTATCATCCCTTAAACTGTTACAGTCTTGCAAACTCATAGGGGCATTTCTACCCTGTCCTATAAGGTTGCAATGAGTCAACATTGACTTGATGGCAGTGAGTTTGTTTTTGATTTTAGTTAAGACTCAGGGAGATGAGATCCTGTATATATTCGAGTATAAGCCTACCAGATTATCAGCCGAGGCACCTAATTTTACCACAAAAACTGCATTTAAAATGTACTGAAAAACTTGCCTTATACATGAGTATATACAGTAACTTGCTCAATGCTGCCTAGCCAGTATGAGGTAAGTTGACCTTCACTTGTGTCTCAAACAGACTCCAAAATTCTTCTTACCCCCCCTTATATCATGCTGAAAGCTGCATTGTTAGAAAGTGAACAGTATACTAATAGGCCCATCTTTTGGGGAGATGGAATTATGGAAATGTTTATATATTGTGATAAAGAAAATGGGAAGTAGCTATAGAAGTGGAAGTGATTTAAACAATTCACTATGTAAAGGTGGGGGCCTTTTGAGCTGCTCATTTTAGTGACTGGAATCTCAGTGATGCCATCGGTTACTAACAAGCCTTAAAACTTTCAGTTAAGATATGAGAGAGAATCGGAAACCTCTTCCAAACTTCAGTTGCTTAGGAGCCTCTTAGGGTATCTTTTTCTAATACAAGCTTTCAGTAACCCCAACACCCTGCCCCAACCCAAAAGCTTACTTCATTAAATTTGAATTGGCAGAGCCCAGGAAAAAGCTCATTAGCTCCTGGTGTGGTTTGTATAGGTAGTTTACAAACCAGTTGAGGAAAGTAATGAAAATGATGATAATTAGTTTGGAATCTGTTGGCCTCATCAGCATTATTCCTTATGATTTTTTCAAGTAAGTAGTGTTATATTGAGATGAATGGCCAATTTGCATTCATTTGATATTATTTTAGTTCTAAATATGGTGTGCTTTGCAAATCTTAATATAGGGCTCAACACCTCAGATGTTCCTCATGAAAAATGTACCAACAACATTTACTTTTTTTTCTCCATAACAAAAAAAAGTTCTGTTTTCAAAAGCTTCATTTAATACCTTCAAAGTATTGAGAATTGATCAGTCCATTTTCTCTTTATGCAGATTGCTCTTAATTGTATGGTCAAGCTGGCCAAGGGCAGGCCCCACCTCAGCCAGTCAGTGGTTGAGACTTTGTTGGCCCAGTTGCACAGTGCCCAGGACACAGCCCGGATCCTGATGTGCCATTGTCTGGCGGCCATTGCCATGCAGCTGCCAGTGCTGGGCGATGGCATGCTGGGGGACCTCATGGAGCTCTACAAAGTGATTGGACGGTCTGCCACAGACAAACAACAAGAACTTCTGGTAAAGAGCCACTTTGTGAACAGGCTGGAAGGGGTGCGCCCTGGTGGCACTGTGGGTTAAGCATTGGGGTGCTGATCAGACAGGGTTGTTGATTTGAACCTCACCAGCGGCTACTTGGGAGTAAGATGAAGCTGCACCTATAGATAAACAGAGTCAGAAACCAATATAGGGTCGTAATGTGTCAGAGTTAACTGGACGGTGGTGGGTTTTGTTTGATTTTTTTTTAGTGGATGAGTTGGATCTAGTCTAGTTGGAATTGATTTTAAAAGTCAGCACCTAAGCTAATCAAATTGGTTAAGATGATTATTTAGAGTCACAGTTTCCAATTATGAAGCAGCATACCCAAAATAGAAGGGGGGCTTCAAAAAGTTGGTCGAAAAATTCCAATATCTTCCAGTTCCATTTCCCAAACCTTTAGAGGTTTCTCCTAGTACTGAAGTCAAAATAGAATTTTTAAAACAAAACCCTGAACTTTTCACTATTTTCACTTTTGATTAGAAATCCAGTTTAGTTCAGATCTAAACCTATACTCTTCATAAGCCCTGTCAACAAGTCTTAGTGTAGCCAAAGCTTCCCGTCTTGTGTTTTCATTTATTTAAAAAGTGAACTTTGTGTGTGTGTGTTTTACAGAAGTAAACATGTCAGACTAATCCCTATTGTATATTTAAGAAAATACAAATTAATGACCTAATATTCAGAATGAACACAGATGCGACTGTGTTCTTGACTCTTTAACTATTTATGAATCAATTTAGACATCTGTATCTGTCTGGAGTTATGAGGATGCTTTAAAATAAAAAAATGTCTTGGGAGCTATAATAATTTGTTGACAAAGCTTTGTAAGGCCACATTATAAATAGGCATAAAATATATGTAACATGGGTTGGCCACTCATATTATTTCTATTCACCTGAATTTAGGGTTTGGGAAAAAGTGTAATGGGATGACTTTTAAATGCCTGCTTTATGTATAATCCTCCAGAGGCATTTTATGAAAGTATGCCCCTATCACATTATTTGCCGTCAGAAAAGGTTACCTGATGCTCAGATCGCAGTAGTCATGGGTGTGATATACAGTTTTAAGAAATATATGTGGATTTGTATATGTATCAGCTTTGAAATGTAAGCAGCTTTAGCCAAATTTATTTATTTTATTAAAGTATTTTGGACTAATGCTCTTACTCCTCTTATTGTTAGTCCTTTTTAAAAACAGTTTTTATTATGAAACCGAACAGTCAAAAATGTAAGAAATACAGTAAAAACTCTTGTATCCATCACTCATCTAAGGGGAAAAAAATATTACCAATACCATTGAAGCCCCCTGTGTACCTCGCTAATAGCACCCCTTCCCCTCTCCCAGAGGTAACTGCTATCCGGAATTTGGTATTTATCTTTCCCCTGCTTGCTGTTAGACTTGTACACCATCAGTGTATGTCTTAGGCAGTGGTAGTGAGCTTCCATAATTGTGGTAGTTTACATAATTGTTACATGCCATCTAAAAACCCTGGTGGCAGTATGGCTTACATGTTCAACGGTTAGTTTGAGTCCATTAACTGCTCCATAGGAGAAAAGACTTGCCATCTGCTTTCGTAACGATTACAGTGAAGGAAACCCTTCAGGGCAGATCTACTCTGTTATGTGAGCTTGCTGAATAGGAATTCAGTTTGACAGCATACAGCAACATGAATTTTGCTTATTTTCTGTGAATCATCTTTATTGTTATGTATATCTAATTCACTCCACTGCTGTATAGTATTTCACTGAAAATGTATCATCACTGATTTCTCCATATGTAGGAGCATTGTTTCAACTTTTCGCCGTTATACTGTAATTGATGAAATAAATTAATGAAATTAAAATAAGTTTTATAAATGTCAATGGGAAACAAATTTTATCCTTTTTCTGGTCTTGAATCACTATTTTCTCCCTTTGGAGTAGATTATTTAGACATTGGATAGAATTATGTGGTTTTCTTGACCCTCTTCTTATTTAATATTAGGTGAGTTTGGCTACTGTGATTTTTGTAGCCAGTCAGAAAGCATTGTCTGCTGAAGTCAAGGCAGTAATTAAGCAGCAGCTTGAAAGCGTTTCTAATGGATGGACAGTATACCGGATTGCTAGACAGGCTTCCAGAATGGTACGTAGTACCCTTGTGGGTTAACTTGCATGGTGGAAATGGCATGTTACAATTCTTAGATTGCGTGATTTTTAGACATAGTCCAAACTGAAAATAAGATGGGAGGGCCTTTTAGCTAAGGGTTGGAAAAATTGATGGCACAAAAGACCTAATTTTTAACTTACATCTCAATGGTATATGTGTTGTTAGTATAAAATGTTGTTATGGGGATGTTGTATAAGAACAGCAAAAATCTGAGGTTTTACAAGGTGTCAATCGTACCACTTCCATTTGGCTCTGTATCATTGTGAGGAAGGCACTGTACCCATCTTCGCCATATAGAAGGCCTAACGATTTTTGTTAACTTTGAAAGGAAATGTAGAGTCTGAGGTGAATAGGAATGCTTTGGTGCTAGGTCCAGAGAGCCAAGTGTGAAAAAGTTCCTCAGGGTGACTGAATCACATGAACTCAAATGGACAGAGGAGTACCGTGGCAGCACAGTTCTTCATTATTTGGCATTGCCCTCACACCTCCAGCATTACTGGATATTTAGCATCCCTGTCCTCAGACATGAAATAGCAATCATACGTACCAGCCATATACAGCTACCCTCCCCTCGTTCATGGTGATAATCAGATATTTACTGGAACTAAATGGCGTCTCCCACTGCCAAGGACGTTGTCCAAAATAGCATACAATGAGTATGCTATAAAATGTTTTCTGTGTTTTATACTAAGATTATAGGCTTGAGTTACAGTTAATTTCATGTCTTTTTTCTTTGGTCAGACCTTGCAATAACCAAATGGCTTATTAAATTTTCATTTAATAACGAAAATTAGGCAGTGTGTTATAGAAAAGCAATTCACCATATTTTCTCTGAGGAAATATTTAGAACAGCGGTTCTCAACCTGTGGGTTGTGATCCCTTTGGGGGTCAAACGACCCTTTGACAGGGATTGCCAGATTCATGACAGTAGCAAAATTACAGTTATGAAGTAGGAATGAAAATAATTTTATGATTGGGGTCACCACAACATGAGGAACTGTATTAAAGGGTCACAGCTGTAGGAAGGTTGAGAACCACTGATTTAGACTGAGTCTCAAAGAATTACATAATATGAGGAATGGTTGCTAAAGCTTATCCAGTGTTTGGGTTTGTCTTTTTCGCTGCTGCATCAACTATTTCAGCATGTGCCTCCTCTTTCCCTTTTTTTAGGGTAATCATGACATGGCCAGAGAGCTTTATCAGAGTTTGCTGACTCAGGTAGCCTCAGAACACTTCTACTTCTGGCTGAATAGTTTGAAGGAGTTCTCACATGCAGAACAGTGTCTCACTGAGTTGCAAGAAGAGAATTATAGTTCAGCACTTTCTTGCATTGCTGAGTCTTTAAAATTCTACCACAAAGGAATTGCTTCCTTAACAGTAAGTCCTCTTCATTCTCCTCTGGTGGTGATAACTTGTGCGAGAATAATTCCCCTTCTGTTTTGATGTTAGCCTATTGTAACTACCATGGTACGCTTTCTGATGCATATACTTTGGTAATATGAAAGTAATAAATTTCAAGTGAAAGCATTTATTATTTCTTCAATATCTATAGATTAATATGTTTATCATTTTATGTTTATAAAGTACTGGGTACCACCCATGAACGGATGGCTTAGTTCATGAACAGGGATTGAGTAGAGAGAGTTCTTTCCTTTTGAGATTCCCGCGAGTCAGATCCACCCTGGAGGGCAGCAGCATCAGACACGAGAAGAAAGGAGTTTTTTGCTTTATAAGTAAATAAGAAATTATCAAGGATGCTCAGTGTTCCACTTCTTACTTCTCGGTCTCCTTCTGCACCAGATCTTTAGGCAGTCAGCGACTTTTAATTTTCTCTAGTAAGTGAAGGCATGCAAGCAGACCCTTAACATTTTGAATGTTTCCTTGAAATTAGCTATGTATCTATAAACCTATTTCCTAAAATGAGTATTTTCTGTAATGATTCGAGAACATTTTCCTTAAAAAAAAATGAAAACGTTTAAAAATCATTTTCTTAGGGGCTTGTACAGCTCTCAGCACAGTCCATGCAGACCTCCATTGTGTTGAGCACATCCGTGCATATGTTGCATCATCACTTTCAGAACATCTTCTTTCTACTTGAGCCCTTGGTATCAGCTCCTCTTGTATGTTTTTTTCCTCCCTCACAAACAAATAACATTGTTATAAGAACCTTTTTCTTTTAAAGGTAAAGAGTTTACATGATCAACAGTAAATACTTTTTAGGTAATAGCACATAGCTTTTAAAATTATCTGTTTTTAGGGCTGGTTGGAATTAACTTAATGGCAGTGGGTTTGGGATTTTGGTGTAAACTTTTGGTACCTATTTACGTATACTTATCACATACCTAGAATATTTTTACTGGTGGGCTCTTCCCAAAGAAATGCTTCAAAGTAGAACAAAGAATAAGATGGCACAAGAGAGGAAAATTTTTTTGAAGTATGATTTCTTTTCCCCTAATCTGTAATTGACTGCTGTTTAAAATAGTCCCTCTCCGTCTTAAAGTGCCCCATGGACTTCATTACTTTTTTCCTCTTGATAATTCTAGGAGAAGATTGTTGTTGCTAATATGAGGTTAATAAATGCTTCGGTAAATCGAAAGGCAAGGGAATTATAATTATTGGTCCAAAGAAGTAGAATTATTTTGTTTTCCAGCTTTGGTGGAATAGAAAATTATTTATCAATCAGTGCAGTAAAAATGATAAGAGCTGTGAAACAAACCTGTTAGAATTAATTTTATGAAAAATTCTGTGGCATATTTAGTCATCTGTTTTAATTACCGTATTTGTGTGGTGTGTGGTTTTTAATAACACATGACAGTAATCAAGGACTGAATTCTGACAGGAGGAAGAAAGTATTTGATGTGTAGGTTCTTGTCTTTGTCTCAGCTCTGCTGCTTATACAGTGTGACTTACACTGGTCATTTAGCCTCATGTGTTCTTCTGAACCATATTAAGAAATTGAAGATAAGGACTTCAGTTCACCTATACATGGATTTATGCTGAACAAAATGTGTTTAAACATGTCAGTGGTCAATGGATGACTGAAAACAAGTTCTCTCAATAATACATTTGTCTTAGTCTCATTAGGGTGCCTTCAAACACAGTCCAACCCACACATTGGCTTCCAAGGGGACCTGCTGGACCAGTTACATTCAAGGCAGGAAGGTTTGCACAAACATCACGGAGGCTGTTTGGGGAGGGCCCTAAAGGAGTCATCTTGAGAGGTTCTCTCAGCAGACACAGGACAATCACAGGAGCTTTTTAGGAAGAATCATTGGGAAAATGAAAGCCTGCAGGAGCTTTTTAAGAAGAATCATTGGGAAAATGAAAGCCTGCATTGGTAAGAAAAAGGCCAGGGAAGTTGCACTGAGGAATTTCTTCTCATCAAAACGATGCAGCTGCTCTTTCTTTGCCAATAACAAGGGCTGCCATATGAGAATTTCATTAGGAAACCTTGCACCATCCACCCTTAAGCCATAGTCTTATCCATTAACTTCTTTTGTCCCCCCAAATTTGAAGAACATCTCAAAGGAACACAGTTTGAGGCCCTGCAGGATAACAAATTTGCCATTTTGGTGTGGCTGAAGCAAAGCACAGGATTCTTTTGGGATGGGCTGGCAAGGTGGAAACCCTGCCTTAGAAGGACACAGACCTAGTGGAGGCTGTTTTCCAGAACAGTCACTTCACACTCTGCTTTCCACAGTTTAGCAGTGCCTTTGACTTGCTTGTGTGCGCTTTAGGCCATAACATAGTATAATGTAGTATAGCACAAACTTTAGGTTGGCGGTTCTCAACTTGGGGGTCAAATGACCCTTCCATAGGGGTCACCTAAGACCATCGGTAAACAAATATTTCCGATGGTCTTAGGAACCCAGACACCATTCCTTTATCATCTCCAGGCGGGTCCGCCCACATACAGATACACCCACATGTGAGTACCCAGTGTGAAGACTGTTACCTATGCTACACCAGACTTCAAGACAAAAGTTCATTTATTTGTCATTAGAAATATTTCACAATATAGAATTACATATTGTTTTTGTGACTAATCACTATGCTTTCATTATGTTCAATGTTTAACAATGAAAATAGATCCTGCACACAAAAAAAGAAAATAGATCCTGCATATCAGATATTTGCATTATAATTCATAACAGTAACAAAATTACAATTATGAAATAGCAATGAAAATAATTTTATACTTGTGCATGGCTGGTTTTTGTACATAATAAAACTAGTCCTTCCGGAAAAAAAAAAGAAAATAATTTTATGGTTGGGAGTCACCCAACCATACATGAATTGTATTAAAGGGTTGCAGCATTAGGACGGTTGAGAACCACTGCTTTAGGTAATGAAACTTTACTGTTGAGATTCCTGAGCACTCCTCTGTTTATATACCTGCTTCTACTCCACAAAGGTAACTATAGCCCTAGATCTAACATTTAACCATTCCCTAGCCTTTCTTTCTAATTTTAACTATTTTTTCCCATGTAACTACCAAAGTACTATTTTGTACTGCATGTTTTTAAAAAGAACCCTTTTTTATTTGATCTGCTTTCATCATCTGAATTATGTTGCTGAGATTCATCCTTGTTGTATGAATCTGTATGCATTATGCAGATGCACTGAAGGTTTTCCCCGTGCTAGTGTTGGTGGACATTTGGGTGTTTTGCTGTTACAGACAGTACTGCTGCAAGTGTTCTTGTATGTCTGTTCAGACAGCTGTTCAGCCAGTGAGGATTGCACCCCTCTGGGGACAGCTTGTCAGTGTCTGTAGACATTTTTGGTTATCATGACTTGCTAGAGGTTAAAGATGCTGTTTAGTGTCCTACAGTGCAACGCAAGGCCCTCTCAGCAACAACCAAAGGAAAGAAAGAAAGAAATTCACTTTGTCATTAGTATGATGATTGTGGCTGTGTTCTAGGGGTGGGCCGCAGTCCCTTCCCTCTGTTTAGAAATGTGTGAGTGAGGAGCTAGAGGTGCTTTAGATACTTAATCTCTGAAGTGGTGAGGGCATTCTTATCCATAGTGAGATGGGAATTGTATAGAGTATATTCATTTTCAAACTGGGTAGCTCACATCAGGAGGTTTTCCTCAGTGGTTTTACAAATTGATAGTCCTCCCCACTGTGCTCCTGTTGCCTTGCATTCACACCTCATCTAGTTATTGTGAGATTTTCCTTAATTTGTTATTTTGTCGTGTGGTAGATGCTTTAGTGATTTTTCATTGAGGTTTGATCATCATTTCCTGTGAATTGCCCATTCAAGGTTTTTGCTCATTTTCCCCTTAGTTATCTGTTTTTTTCTTATTAGTTTGTAAATTGTTTATGTTATATCTAGATTGTTATAAATACCATTTTTGCGTTGAGCAACAGTTCTTAATTTTATGTAGTCTAAATTATTATCTGTATAGTTTGTGTTTTGTTTACAAAATCTTTCCTGATTTCAAGCTTATAAAGATATTTTCCTCTCTGTTCTCTGATAAATGTTCTGTTATTTTGCCTTCACATTTAAATTTTAATCAAAGTAGATAAAAGAGTTTGGATTTTTATGTTTTTTAGATAGTATTTTATTGTGTGTACATGAAGGCTTATACAGCAGGTTAGGTGCCCACTGAACAGTTTCTGTACAAGTGCTTCAGGGACATTGATTACATGCGTTACAATGTGTGCATGATTAATATTTACACTCTGTTTCATTTTCGTTCATCTTCCCTTCCCTGCCCCCTTACATTCTCATCTTTGATTGAATTGGCTGGTCTCATATATATGTTTTTTGATTCACTTAGTATTTGTCATGAAGATAGTGGACTTCTGCTTGGATTTAAATCCTAACTACATCGCCTTGGTAAAGTCACTTTAACCGCTCCATGTCTGAGTGTCCATGCCTGTAAGGTGAAGGTGATAACTGTCCTTATTGAACTGTAAGCATTGGCATTCTATTTGTGATACCAGTTCCCCACATGTCCTATTTGAATGCACCCTGGCTAGCTGTGTGGCCCTGTACTAGGCACATATCCTTTCTAAGCCTCAGTTGCCCTTAGCAGTTGAAGGGTTTCATCTCACCATACTCCAGATCCCCTTGACTTTGATTCAGTGGTTCCTTGGTCCTTGCTGTTGATTGACCTTAAAGAAGATAGTAAGGAAAATCAAGAACAGAACAGATAGTTCTCTCTGCTCAGTATTTGAGTTGGTAGTTGTTGACCAGATGTGTGGGAATCTTGGAGTTGGACAGGAATTGAAAGAGAGTGTAATTGTGTTTATCTCAACATTTTTTAGGGGTCTCTTGTTCTTGCTAGATCTCCTTATCTCCTTGCATGTGCTCTCTCAGATAATTTCATCCTTTGACAGTTGCAGTTAGTATCTATGTTGATGATTTCAAAGCGATTCTTCTGAGCTGTAAGCCCCGTTGTCCAAATGATCATCTCCCCTTAAACAGCAGCTAGCTGGTTATCCAGGTTTGTTTGTTTGTTTGTTTTTCATGTCCAAAGTTGGAGCTCATTGTTTCCTTACCTCTCCTTATTTCACTGCTTACTGCCTTCCTCAAGCAAGATCTGACTAAAGTAGTCTCGCCCTTAGATTTTTACTCCTATCACCTCCTTAGGAAGCCTGGGGTGTAATGGGCCGCTAACCACAAGGTTAGCTAACTACAAGGTCATCAGTTCCAACCTATCAGCCACTTTATAGGAGAAAGATGAGGCTTTCTACGCCCATCTATATTTAGAGCCTTGGAAAGCCACTGGGGCAGTTCTCTGTCCTGTGAGGCTGTTATGAGCCTGAATTGTCTCAGTGACAGTGAATTTTGTTTTCGTATCCCCCTCCGTCTCTCTCTTTTAAAATGTTACGTATCCTCCAGATTACAGGCTATTACGACCTGCCCAAGATACTGCACTTTGGATTAGGTTCTTCCTTACTATCCTACAGCATTAATAACTTTTTATACTTAGGGTCGTTTATTGCCTTTTTCTCTAGATTGCTGAAGTTCCATGTGGACATGTCCATGTAGATGTGTCTGTCTGTCTTCCTTGCTTTGTCTGAAGCACCTCGTAAAGTGCATGGAACTTAGCAGGCAATAAATATTTGCTGTAGAAAACCAAACAGCAGGAAGGAAGACTGCTTGTCCTTTGCTTTTGGAAACCCACAACTATTAGAAACTCTTCCTTATATTAAATCTAAATCTCCCTCTCCACTACTTCACTTAGAAGTCTTCTGTGGCATCAGTTCTGACATCGAATATAATACTTTTTAATGGCAACCATTTAAATATTTGAAAAACAGGTATCATGTTTCCTTTCAATTTTTTTTCTTCTGTAGCCAGGCATCTGTCTTCCTTAAGTTATAGTACTTGAGACTTCTTACCTACCTGGTAGATTGCCTGCATATAGTTTTCATTTTGCTAACTATAATTTCACTTATAACTATCACCTTTGTGGTTTTTCAACTCACATATGTATCTATGTCTAGAAATGTGGGCTTAATTTGTAGCATCTCATCTCCACTTAGCACATGTTTTGGGCTTTAGTATTTCCTTAATCATACCATATATACTCATGTATAAGTGGAGTTTTTCAGCACATTTTAATGCTGTAGAAGCCCGCCCCCTCCCCCTCGGCTTACACTCGAGTGAGGTCCCCACTTACCTGTTCTCCAGTCTCTCCCGCTCATCTGCGGGTGGTCTGATGGTTGCTGATATCACCGCTCTTCTTTTCTCTTGCACGCGGGCAGCCTCTGTGTTGTCCGTGCTGTACTGGGCAACAATCTGCCCGCTTCTGTGTGTTGGTACCTGGGACGCACCGCATCCTTGTCAGATGACTGTCAGATGCATCAGCTCTTTATCACCCGCTCTTCTCCAGGGCTGTCACCAGTGATGTAGCCTTTACAGACTTACCCGTGCTTGGTCATGCCCCCTTGCTTCACCCAAGCATTGCTAAATACAAGTACCGGTATATCTCTGGTCTTGATATACTGTATGTTTATTTACATAACTTAGTCTGCTATATTTTATTTTTTATTTTCTTATTAACCCCTATTTGGACCCAGTGTTGACTATGCAGTGCATGCAATAACACAGTGCGTACACAGCGCAGTGTGTATATTATGAGCCCTAACACAGGCTGCTCTATGCAAACAGTCATGTCATCACATTTGGGAATATCATCAGCCTGCGTTAGGCCTCAAACTATGCAAGCTGTGTTGTGTACATGCGGTAAGGCAGCATATGTAGTAATGTAGCACATGCAGTAACACAGTATGTTTAGTTATTGTTGATACCATAATTGTTTTTGTTGACCCTTTTTTCCACGTACAGAGCTAGTTTACTGTTTTTCTTTGAAATAAATGTTCAAGAACATTTAACCTACTGATGCCTCAATTAATGTAATTTTATTGGTATCTATTTTTATTTTGAAATTTACCAGTAGCTGCTGCATTTCCCACCCTAGGCTTATACTCGAGTCAATAAGTTTTCTCAGTTTTTTGTGGTAAAATTAGGTGCCTTGGCTTATATTCCGGTCTGCTGATACTCGGGTATATACGTATATACATAACCCCCAAATCATGAGCCTAGCTCCAAAATAACAACATCAGTGTGTTGTAAACCATTCGTGTCATAGAAGAAGAGACTTTACTGTGCCTCTGTTTATTGTTAATTTTGCATGAATTGAGCAAGTTGTACCTGTAACTACCTCCCCAGGAGAAATCCCTCGCATGGACCGTAGTAACCCATTCTGTAATTGTGGGTGTCAGGGTTATCAAAAAAGACACGATTCACAATCTTAACATTGGATGCAACAATGGCTTACGTACATAAAGAGAAAAGGCAAGGTTTCCCATGGCTAGCAGGTCTCTCCCCCCAGCCAATGTAACACACTCATCCCAGCAGTCTCTGGGAATGCGGTGACGTGCACTCATGGCCAGAGGAGAGGGATGTACTGACAGGCCACCAGCTGTTAGGCAACCTAGTGAATCGAGATCCCAGAAAGTGGAGTCAGCTCCTACTCTCATTCTGTCCAAGAAGCTAGGGCAACCATCTGTCCCTAAGCACAGGTTTATTCAAGGGCCACAGGGAACGGGGGCAGACCGTGCTCAGACTGCTCACTTCCACAGTCTGTCCTCTGACTTCTGGAACCTCAAGGACAAAGGACCAAAATGGCTGAAATGTTTGGTGTGCCTGCCATTCATTTTGGACAGTGAGCTGCACATCCGTAACCCAGGGCAGGACTGATGAATATACCACAAGGAAGGTTAAGTCTGCCTGACTCTAAGAGACATTAATGTGTTGGCTACCCGCCAAGATCAGTTAGAAAGGGCAGCTGAAGCCTTCCAAGTAAAGCCTATGGTCAGGCCTGAAAAATCACAGAGGTTTTTAACTAGGAGCTGGACCTCGCAACTGCACATTTTTAGTGTGTGCTTTTTATGGAAAGATAGTGCGAGGCTTTCTGCTAGGACAGTTGTTAAATGAAGATTGCCGAGTTCTCTGCCAACACTCACTTGGCGTACCCTTCTTTACTCCCTCTGTACGGACCGCTCCTGTCGGCTCTCCAAGGCGTCCTCCCATCCTCACGGAAATGTACTTGTGTTAGAACTTGTTCCTCCGTGGTGTTCTTTCAGTCCTTTCTGAAATGTCCGCTCAGAAATTGTCTGTAATATTATTTTGGGCACCATGTGGTAGAAAACTGCCTTGAATCAATGCACTTTTTAAAACATGATTGTCTGGAAGCATATTATACATATATTTTTTTGTTTCCCTCTTCATCTACCTCTCCCCAACTTCTTCACAATCCTATTATGGTTCAGTGGTGGGGATTTTAGATTATAGAGATAGGAAGGTGATATGAGAATGGGAAGGGGGGGTGATGATAAAAGTTCTGGCAGCATCCATCCCTCAGTGATACTGTATTGATGATGGTGTAGCCAACTCATGTGTAATAGGATCTCTTGTAAGGTAGCAAGTAGGAAACCTTTGAATGGTATTGAAACTTAAGGTTTTTCAGAATCAATGCTAATAACAGTAAGTTTATCTCTCTCATACAAGCGATTTTTTTAAATGTCTTGGGAAAACTCCATTATCTTTTCATTCTATTTTCCATGAACTTTTTGAAGCCCCACCTTATAATTTGAGTGTTTATCCATCAATGTTAAAACCATTGCTCTTTTACACAAATTTTGACAAATACTTGGGACTGTGCCACCTTGCTGTTATTTTTACTTTGTCTTTTTTTTCCCCCAGGCTGCTAGTACACCACTGAATCCTCTAAGTTTTCAGTGTGAATTTGTAAAACTCAGGATTGATGTTCTCCAAGCCTTCTCCCAACTTATCTGTACTTGTAATAGCCTAAAGACAAGCCCCCCACCTGCAATTGCCACAACAATTGCTATGACCATAGGAAATGACCTTCAGAGATGTGGCCGAATCTCCAATCAGGTATATTGATTTTCTGTTCAGTGAAGTTTTTATGTACCCTTCAGAGGTTTTGAGGCTAGTTATAAGACAAGAAATTAAATTATAATCAGTGATTGCTTCTCAGACCTTTAATATTAAATATTACTTAAGTATTAACTCATCCATCATTCCAGAAACAATCTGCTGTACTGTTAGAGAGGACAACATAGTGATCGATCTTGGCTCATTACATGCCATAATTTATATAAAGGGAAAGGACATTTTAAAGTAATTAAGAAATATTTATTACTGTGACAACCTGAAGCTAAAAATGCACGTGTTTTATGTTTTTATATAACTTAAATAAAGTGCTATAATTTTGTAAATATCATTTCTGTTTTCATCTTGGTTGGATTTTAGAAAATGGAATGACAGTGAAAATTCAAATATTTGTATTTTTATTATTTGAGGAGGAGGTTGGGTTTTTTTAGCGATTGGATATTTTTTGTTTGTTTACATAATGATAACATGTTTGTTAACCACAATCAATCATTTATTTCCTTTACAGATGAAACAGTCCATGGAAGAATTCCGAAGCCTCGCATCCCACTATGGGGATCTTTACCAGGCTTCTTTTGATGCTGACTCAGCAACTCTGAGGAATGTAGAACTGTATCCTAAGCTTGCCCCAATATTTTTTTTATTCTTAGGAAATCTATTTTGGAATATAAACATTTCTGGTAGACTTAACTTCAGAATGTGATGTAAGTTTATGATTTTTCCCATTAAATTACGTACATTATAAGTGTACCTTTTAATTTGCTATCAGAACTTCGGACAAAGTGGTGACTCAGTATTCGAGTTTTCTCATCTCTGGAGCTCAGGTCCTGCCCAGGTGGAACCTCTAGTTTGTGCTTGCCTGAGCTACCCAGGACAAAGCAGTGGGTATCCCCTCCAGGGAGCCACTTTCTGTTGTCCCTCTCCGCAGTGTCCGCAATGGCAACAACCCTAGTTCCAACACCTTTATTAACAATCCATTAGATTTTTGCAGCCATCACTCTTGTTTCTTACACTCTTCAAATGGTCCATGTTTTATTCAAAAACAGGAAGTAAGAGAGAAACTTTTTTTAAGTTGTAGGACCCAGTTTTTGGAATTTGTGATTATTGTTTTCTAAAATGAGCAGTATGCCCCCTGGGGGACACTGGAACAATCTAGGGGGACTGCAAAAGCAGATATAAACAGGAGTCCTGGGCATCTTGCAAAAGTTTTTCATTGTCGAGGGGGTGCTGAGTAATTTTTTTTTTCTGAAAAGAGGTCAGTAGGCCAAATAAGTTTGGGAACCTATGATCAAATGCGTGTGATAAGCCCTCTTCCCTACAAAATGTGTGTGTGTGTATGTGCATACACACCCAAACACTGAGTTGACAGACCTCTTGAGTTCCAGCTTAGGAACCTCTGAGGTAAAGGATTTCCTGTATCTAAAATGTATGAAAACAAAGTCACTGTGATTAAATGAAAGAACCTATTGCCTGGTTCTCCCTTCCCTCAAAGTGGCAGCCTCTGAAGTTTACATCCTGGAACAGAGTATGAGGACCACTTTCAAATAGCTGCTGCTGCTATTTGCTGTTAGTCAGACCTGACTCATGGCATTCCTACCCCAGGCACAAGGTAGTACACCGCCCAGTCCCGGGCTGAGGAAAGGGTGCCTCAGACCTCAAACCTCACATCATTTGTGTCAATAGCCTTATGATTACCTTAACTAAAAATACCGCCCCATCTTACTCATTTAATAATCAGATCATGTAAAGTCTGTAGTAGAATTTTCTACTTTCGTGTATAACCTTAACATGGATGCAGACAGCAGCAGAGCTGTTTACTGATATCTCACGCAGTAGAAGCCTTGATTTTGGATCCTGATTCAGCAAGGTAATTCTAGTTTATGTTATGAAACACTTTGCAATATGGTATCTTAGTAGTCATCCCAAGGATGCCTTTGAAAGATGCATTACAAGAGATGAAACAAAGAGGTAACATAGCTAGTTATAAAACTTAGATTTTCAGCCTCTGTTGTTTATCTCTCCTGCCTCTTCCTGTGAAAACATAGACTTGGAAAAATAAATGAAAGGAAATTATTTGTGCTATTTAAACCTTTTTTATGTGTTCTAATATTTGATAGGAAAAATCACGTTAATACTATTACATTTCTATTCTTTAGCCTCTCAAAAGTATATTCCTATTCTTGCTCATCTTGGTGACCTGGTGCTGTTATAACTCTCACAAAGAGACATGTGTTCATTTACAGTTAAGGAGGCTAGCCATCTGAATTCGGCCACCAGCTCTGTGGGAGGCTTTCTTTCTCTGACTGCAGGAAGACCTTTCTCTACTTTTTCGACATTCAACAGTTGTGGGCATGACAGCCGTCTATATGTCTTAGCATCAGTCTTCCCTGGGTCTAGGAGATTTCATGCACAGGGACCCCGAGTCCAAAGGGTATACTACACCCTCAGTTCTTTCTTGGTAGTAGGTCCATCTGATCTTTTCTTGCTTCTCTCCCCTTTTATAAGATAAAAGGTGTTTCGGGCCTCCTTCTGGGATACTCCCCTATCATCAGATCACAGGAAGGGTGTTACATGGGGATGAGTACAATATTACAAAACTGCCAAATCACTGAGAATCATGACTCAGCCAAGGTAACACATTTTGAGGGGACACAAGTTCATTTATGACATTGTTTTTTAAAATTCTTCCCTCTCATTAATTCTAGACAAAACCCCATTTTTTTCCATCATGATCTTCTCTCTGGAATATGCATTTTTAACTGTGTAATTTCGATATAGTAGAATATAATAAGCCAGGTTAAATTTTTATCCTCTTTTCAGAGCAAACCTATCTTTCTGTTTAAAGTCCAACTACTGTCAGAGGAGGTTACATTTGAGCATTAAAACCGTTGCTGTTTGGGTTGGGTGACTCTGGTTCTGACTTAAGTTTCCAGGAATACGGATCTACCGGCGCAGCGCATGCCGACAGTGAATATGAGAGAAGAATGATTTCTGTGTACAATCATGTCTTGGAGGAGGTGGAGTCACTCAACCGAAAGTATACCCCCGTTTCTTACATGGCAAGTGGCCTTTGTGTTATCGAGTTCATACTGTGCTTTTATCATGTGAAAATGGGTTTTTAATCCGTCTCTGCCCTGGCTGGTTCTGTGACTGCAGCAGGTGAACTTCCTTGTGCCTGTTTTCTCATCTCCAAATCAGGGTTGATGGAGTGCTTGGACCCTACTGCTCTGTTCTGAGGCTTCAATGAGATGATATCCGTGTCAAACACTTACCACATCGCTGGTTACTAGATGGAAAATATCCCCTGCCAGGATGCAAGTGAAACTTTAACAACAAAAAAAGTTATGATGGTTCTCAAACCTGGCTATACATTAGAACCACTTTGGGACCTTTTTAAAAACAACCTCCTGCTTGCCTCCTTATGTCAGATTTTTTAAAAGAAGAGGTTAGCAGGATGTATTGTTAAAGAATTGGTTTGGACTTAAAGAATAACACTTTCTTTGACATACTGTAAGATCTTTGTTACATATTGTTGCATTCAGTTGGCTCGGGTAGCTGTTTGGCACTGAGATTGATTCCTAGGGGAGATTGTAAAGACTCTATGTTAAGGAAATGCATACATCTGAGTGAGAAGATGGTTAAATAATTTTTAGAATCCCTCTAAGGTGCCACAGCATGGAATTAAATAGATGCCAAGCAGTAAGTTCAGTTTGATGGAGTCCATTAACTATAGTGGGCACAGTGAGAAGTTTCTGTCCAAGATGCCTCTTGGACAGTATGGAGTGTGGAGAAATGAGCCTATGAGATGTCCGTGTGTGTGTGTGTGTGTGTGTGTGTGTGTGTGTGTCTTCTCAATACACAGCCTAAAGATCAATTTTTACACCAACTGCAATGGGGGTCTTCTGACCCGAGTACCAAGGATGGGTTCAGTATAGCAACAACCCAGACCACCAAATCTGTCCAAGGCTTAAGATGCCAGTTTACCCGGGAGTCCCCACAACACCTTCACTTCGGACTTGAGGGCTATAAAGTCAGGAGTTCTCAGTCCTCAGGGTCCATGATTTGTTGTAACAATTCACAGGACTCAGGAAAATGCTTATTTGTAATTATAGTTTTATTACAGCAAAAACAGTATAATGAAGAGATGCCTAAGGCATAATGTGAAAGGACGCCCCAATGTACAGCTTCCTTATCTCAAGGGATGCATCCATTCTGAGGAGTAATGTCTTCTACCAACCTGTAAGCACCCATTGCTCTCATGGTTGAGTCGTTACCCAGTTTGTTCAGTCACTGCTCACCAGGTTGAATGCATCTCCAGCTCCTCTTTCGTTCTTGTAAGGTCAGACTGATAAAGACCCCGTGATGGATCATTCTGTCGTGATCAGACCTCACCCAAAAGTTATCTTATTAGGATAACCTGTCAGGTGTGATAATGGTACCCCTCCCTAAATAACAAAGACACCAGTCACTTGAGAAGTTTCAAAGGTTTGAGTACTATCTCCCAGAAATTGGGGATCAAGGTCAAATTCTGTTCATTGCACATATCAGCGTCTGGATTTATTCAGAGCTAGGTGCGAATTCTAACTTTGCCACTTAGCAGCACTGTGATTTTAGACAGTTACTCAATATTCTTCTCTATGAAATGCAAATAAAGCCTACCTCATCACGTTACCCTGACATTCAGATGAAGTGATGCGTGTTGTATTGCAGTGCCTGACTCATGAACAGTGGTTAATGAATGGTAATTCCTCTTCCTTTCCTTCCTAACTGTGTTTCACAGATTTGATACCTTCTAGGCCCCAAATTTAGTTAAAGTGTTTGTTAGCTCCTGGGGATGAATATTCTGACCCAAAAATGTTTCTTTTTCCCCCCCACAATGATTCTTTAGGATAGAATAGAACTACCAAGACCGTGAATATTTATAGAGTAGACCGTTTCATCTCTCTCCCACAGAGCAGCTGTTTAGAGGGTCACGATGAGTTGGAGTCAACTTGATGACAGTGACTTTGACTTTCAGGGATGAGACATGATCGACAGGGCCTTCCTTAATTGCCATTTCAAAGCATTATTTACAGAGTGCACAGCTGGGTGGCACCCTGCTTGGAAGCTGGAGGGAGCAGACAGTCATGCCGTGGTTTTGTAGTTCTGGAGGGGCCAGTGCAGGGATGAAGACGGGCCAGTGCAGGGATGGTCCGAGTCACTTCCAGCTTACAGTTTTCTGATGATGCTCCCCTTTCTTCTCTGTGTACATCACTGGTGAAATGGAGCCAAAGCACTGGCATTAGAGGAAGACAGCCAAGGTTCTAGTCCTAGCTCATGTTAGCTGCTAATGTAACTGTCAGCAGCAAAACGGAGTACTAGCCTGAGTAAGTTTCCTCGGTTTCTTATTTGCCAGTGACCTGTGGCCACAGATACAGGGACTCCTGTATCTTAGTGGAGATGGAGGAGGAATGAGGCAGCTCAATACTGAGGTTCTATATGGGATTTAGAGTCAGGCCTTGATATCTGTATATGCCTTGGCTTGCCTATCAAATCTTTATCTTTCTCTGCCATAGGATAGTCACTGTATTTTGGTATCTAAAATAATTATAGTGTAAGCCCTGGCTTCGCAGTGGTGAAAGCACCCAGTTGCCAACCCAAAAATGAAGGATCGGAACCCACCAGCTGCTCCTTCCTCAGGGCAAAAAAGACGTGACAGTCTCCTTCCCAAAAGATTTATACCCATGGGGAAGAAATCAGTTGATGCCCAGCTATCAGAAAGAAAAGTTTTAGGGTCTCAAAGGCGGTCTTAAATAGCCATCTAAGTGAGGTAGGTACTGGCTAAACCCACACAAAATCATACCAGGTCATGTGATCCAAGGATTTCAAATGGTAAAACCTAAGCTCAGAGGACGGAATTGTGTTAGAGCTTAAGTGCTGAATACCCATTTTGCAGAAGACTAAGGATGGCAGTGGAAGCCCAAAACCCATTTACAGAGTACCCAAGTGAATTAAGCCTCGCTTGAATCCCCTCAGATCCTTACACAGGCATATGAACCATCTTGTCCACAGACAAGTTGCATTGAAAAGTAGATGACAGCAGATGAAATTAGTTCCAATTTAACATTCTACCATTTTTTTCCCTTTTGACCCATTTGTAACTTGTTCTAGTCTTTATTTCTGCTTTCTTTTAGGATGAAGTTTTTCTGTTTTATTGGTAGTGTCATTTTTGTTTCTTCTTCCTCTTTTTGTCTGACTTCCTCTATCTGAAATCCAGGATCAGTAATATGGAGACAGCAACTAGATCAATAGTTTGTTTCTTGGTGTTATGACAGGAGATGTTTAGGGGACAGAAAGAAGGTGCTAATAACAGTGAATGCAAGAATGAAGAAAATGCTCCCGAATTGATTGTGGTTGATGATTGCACAACACTTTGATATATTTGAACAATTGAATTGTATATTATGTGAATTATATGTCAATAAAATCATTCTAAAAATATGGAGGGGAGATTTATATCCCTGAAAGATCTATGGGGACCATTCTACTCTGTTGTATAGGGTCACTGTGAATTGGAATCAATTCCATCTCAATGGGTTTTTACCATAGGATAGTTAATTTATATTTTAGTACCTAAAGTAAATATATTTAAGAGGGCTGGAGAAAGTTATATTTAAAAAATAACAGAATTTTCGCATGAGCTTTTGAACCTTTCTCATAAGAATGTGTAGTCACTCTAAGCTCTTCAGAAAGATAAAATTTGTCTGTTGGGAAACGTAGATCTTTGTCTCTTTGTCATTTATTTGTTATTGAGTGTCCTTTAAAATGAAGTAAAATGTTGTGATTGTACTCCTTGAGAGAAACAGGTTGGCAAATGTAGACAGTTCCTCCATCAGTGCTATTGATGTTTTCATGGTTGGTGTACTTCTGTAATGATTGAAATGAGCATTTGTAGTTTTAAACTTCTTCCTGAAAATAGCATGTGTTGGTGAAATGTGGAAAATCTCTCTTCATTTGTTTGTCTTTTTTTGCCCCAGCATACAGCATGCCTCTGCAATGGCATCATTGCTTTGCTCAAAGTCCCTCTTTCATTTCAAAGATACTTCTTCCAGAAATTGCAATCTACCAGCATTAAGGTAAGGCAGGAAAAATATTAAGATTAAAAATCTCAGTTGTCTTTTAAAGATTAAGTGGGGCATAATTTCCTCTTACCTGTGGTTTGGGTAACATAGAACTCCAGTGTGAGCCCTGTCTGCTACTAGTGGTGTGGTGAAGGGGGTAGTATCTGGGGTTGAGCCCTTTCTTTCTGAAGGGTCAGAGCCACGTGCAGTGAGCACATATTTGTGTTGTGGGAGCTGGTTCCTTGCCTCTTCACCCCACGACTAAGTGGAGTGGTTTTCATCACTGCGGTTTATAAGCCTCTTGAGCTCCGTCTATTGCTGATAAACCTATTCAGAACCAACTTGGAATGCATCAGGCCCAGTAGAACACCATCAGCTCCTCCTCTAAGAACTTTGGTGGAGCTGGCCAGTAAGTAGGGTATCTTAAAATATGTATGCTACTCACAGTTCAAAAGCTCTTTGGGTTGAGAGGATGGAATTGTTGGGAAGCAGGGAGATTGTCATTGCGGAGCGATTTCCTAGACTTTCCCTATCAGTCATTGTCTTCGGTGCATTTTGCATCCGTGGACTGTCTTGATTGCACGCCCTTTCAGAAGACCTGAGTAACAGGAAAAGTCGATGCCGTAGCTGTGGTAGCTCCAGGTTGATAGTAGCTGAAGAACGTTATTTCAGAACCCCAAGTTTCGTCTTTCTTTTCATTAGCAAGACTTGGACTTTCTCTACTTGCAGTAGCGGTACCTTTGACGTTTTTAAAGAAAAAGTAATGAGAGGTTAAATTATGTCACTTGAATTTTATGTGAGAGTTGACTTTTATACCCTAGTGCAGGGGTGTCAAACTGGCGGCCTACGAGGTAATTTTCTGTGGCCCACGATGTTCTGAAATAAAATGAAAATAGAAAAAATTGTTATGAAGAAAATAGTGCTTAGGGGATATCAAGGCAATACTGTACACACAATTCCCTCATTACATTTTATTTCAGAGAATTGTGGGCCCCAAAATATTACTTTGGGGACCAGTTTGACACCCCTGCCCTAGTGGCTTGATGGTAGGTGGACCTGGAATTTTAAGTGCCTTTCTATCCACATTTAGTCTGTTTACGATCACCTGAGGCCAAAGGAACAGCTTCTGAACATGAAATTTTACATAGTGCGTTTCTGTACTAGAGGTATTTCCATGTCCAAGAGATGCTCTTCATCAAAATATCAGGAGAACTGCACGCCTTCAAGGTTCTCTAACCTCGTCACCCTCCAACAGAATGGAGGTGTCAGGTGGAAAGCACTATAGCATTAGAGGAAGATACTGAGACTGAGGAACCCTTGACTTAAGGGGCACGTCTTGTCTAGTTCGTTCCCAAAACAGCCTCATCATTTGACTGTGGGTTTTCGTGGGTTTTCATTTGTAGCCAGTGGTTCGTGGTTGTTGGGAGGAAGCGTGGTCTTAGTAGTTGGCATTTATTTTACTATTGATATTCCAGCTGGCTCTGTCCCCATCACCGCGGAACCCCTCGGAGCCCATCCCTGTCCAGAACAACCAGCAGCTGGCACTGAAGGTGGAGGGAGTGGTTCAGCATGGATCTAAACCGGGACTCTTCCGCAAAATTCAGTCTGTCTGTCTGAATGTTTCTTCCACACTACAGAGTAAATCTGGACAAGACTACAAGGTAACTCAGAAGAGTGGCAACATGTGCTACAGATTTTATCAGCTTGGTGGTGGAAGTTTTTCGTTGTTTTTTTGTAGTTGATCAGGTATATCTCCTTTGGGAGCAGACGACCATACACTAAAAGCCTTTATATATTAGTCCTGGAGGAGAGACAGATAAACACTTTTCTTTTCTCAGCCCGATTTCAGAAAACCGTTGCTCGTCGTCAAAGTCCCTAAGCAGTCAGAACACCTGGGTTCTGTTCCAGCTGGAACAGTCAGCCAGCCTGGCAGCAAGGATTCTTAACCTTGGACTTGTGAATTTCTCTCACTTGAACTTTTCCCCCTTATCTGTAAAACTTCTGGCGAGGAGAAGCACCCTGGGGCTCAAAGAGAAGCAGAGCACCCTAGGCTTTCTTCCCTGAGGCCAGTGCTCCACTGGGCCGACACAATCAAGAGTGGAATCAGGGTCTTCCCAAATACATCTTAGTATTTTCAAAAAGAAATGAATCGCAGCAACATAGCTCTCGGCAAACCAAGTAAAATCTGCCCATACGGGTGCTGGGAACTTGTCGCTTTGAAAAATCAAGAGGTAGATAAATATTAACTAAAGTCAGGCTTACATTATTAGCCAAAGCTAAGTATCTGCACCAGTGCCCATGAAATAACAATGTTCCAAATACATAATTTTCTTTCACAGTTCCTTGATTTATCTTAAGGAGTGAGTTGGGTAAGGAAACCAATGCAGTTATTCAAGAAGGCTTCAAAAAGTTTGTGAGAAAATGGGTTTAAAAAGCAATGGAATTTTTCCATGGACTTTTTGAAACCTCCCCCTCCCCATATACTCAGTTGTTCAAATGTCTAAATTGGCCAGACCCAGGCTGCCAGTGGGCCTGTCTCAGCTGAACTTAGGTCACAGCAAGAAAGAGGGGACACCAGTAACAATATTAACCGAGGAGCATTTGGTTGATTGATTTTAAACAGCTAAGCTCAGGGGAGATCTGGTTTAAGCTCTCATTAGTTTCCTCCCTGTGATAGCATTACTGTCTCTGTCTCCTCTTGCAATGCTCAGCTTGCCTTCTCTCTTTGTCCTCTCTTCCTGGGCTCCGTGACAAAGAGCAGAGTACCTTATATAGCCACTCTGTCTACCCTGCTCACTCTCTCGAACTTTCAAACCCCACAGAAGTAAGGTTTACATGCAAGCACGGGATGGGATGGTGCCTTGATGTACTTGTGGAGAGAAGAGAACAGCTCAGTGTTAGCGAGGAGCATTGGTTTCCCCATAGCCCAGCAGATCCCTTCCCACAGCCAACCATTTAAGGGCTGCTGGGCTATGGGGAAACCCCACTTTGTGTGCCCCACTCATGCCAGTTTAGAGACTTCGTTGCCTTCTGCTGTGATCCGGTGCAGGGACGGATTGATCAGGTCCCATATGACGTGCACGAGCAGAGTAGGCAGAATGTTCACTGTCGCTCCCAGCTCCTGTGATCAGAGAAAGTGCCAGGTCCAAGGCTTCTGACTGGGCAGTCCAGGTTAGGTTCAGAAGGTTGCATGAGAGACTGCTTTCCTATTTTCCCAACAGTCCACCCCCACCCTTGCAGGAAGAAACACAGGTTAAGCAGTGGTTACAAGTCCCACATGTCCATCGTCCACCCTGGTCAGTATGCACCATGCCGTGACCCAGTGCACAACATTGATGGATGTCGCTTCTCTATACTATTTCAGGTTGCACACCAAGTCTGGTTAGGGTGGGCAGCTTTACCCCTGAAGCCTGCCAGGTAAAAAAGCAAAACAGCCAACCCCAGTGCCATCAAGTCAATGCTGTCTCATAGCAACCCCATATAGGGTTTTTAAGGCTGTATCTTCCACAGCATCTGGTGAGTTTGAACCGCCAAACTTGGGGTGAGCAGTCCAGCACTTTCCTGATAAGTGTCACCAGGGCTCCTTTGAAAGCTTCTGATTAGGCCTGAAAGATCACACATAGGAGTTTAACGGAGGCCATCATTATAGTCCTTCTTTTTCCCCCTTTATTGTACAGGCTCAAGTGAGACATAAAAGCTATCCCGTGATGAACCCAGATGGCGCTGGTTTTAGAGAGCCAGAAGGCTCTCTCCTCAAGTTTTCTGTAAATCTTTTATGTGGCTCAAGGCTTTGGGTCAGACACATCACCGCTCTGGCCAGGAGGTTGAATGCATTCCAGGGCTGAAACAGTGTCAGGGGGACATGTGCCCCCCACCCCAAGAACAGAGTTTAACATGGAGTGCACCCCAAGCAGGGCGTAACACAAAGTTGTCAGCCAAGTTAACAAGGCTCCCATGGCCTCCCATCATAGGTCCTCCTGTCCTGGGTCCCTTGTTCTGTCCTGGTAGTCCCCTTTAACGTGTGATTTCACCAAGCCTGCCTGAGACTGGCAGTCAGTTTTGTTGTGATACACAAGGTGTATTAGTCTCCCCAGGGTGGGCGATGTCTGGAGGCCCCCGTGTGGACAGTGCAGGAGCCTAAGCCTTCCTCTCTCACTCCCAGTCACCCGTCAGCACTAGCAGTGTTTGTTCAGAAACAGTTCTGAGAAACAAAGATTGTTAGTATCTACACAATGCCACCACCACACACACAGTTCCAGTGCCTCCAGTGAGGCCAGAGTTGTGATGAACTTACCTTTTTGGTGGTGTGAATCATTCAGTAATCTAAACTTGACAGCAGTAATCTTCCCATCTTCCTGACTTTCATCCAGAGATGTGTCTAGAATGGTGGTATGCAAAAGGTTTTGAAAGGTTGGATAGACAGCCTGATCAAATGGGTGCAGGTGCGATGGGCCTTTCCGGGCGTGAGACCCTGGGCTGCCTGCCTGAGGTGTGTGGTTCAGGCTGTCGTTGTCTTGTCTCCTCCCATCAGATGTTGAAGTCTTCCCTTTCCTTGCCTACTGAGCTGACAGTCACTTCCACAGCTTAGGAGTGAGGTGGGACACGAAGCCTCCATCCAGAATCCTGCGAAACCTCTGCATAGGATGAGGCCTGGTGCACTTCTCCTGGGGCCAGCTGACTTGGGAGTCTGTCCCGGGTTACTGATTTCAGCCTGGGCCAGTTTTCCATGCCTTTCAGCATTTTCTGATGACAGATCTGGGTGTGCATGAGGCCCAGTTCAGGACGGTGTTGGAATCCCCATGGGCCATCTCGTGGATCCAGGAGGCAGGCAGACACAATCTGCTTGCTTTAGGGACATTTTGGCCTCTGTGTTTAATTGAAAAGTACCATGCATTCATTGGTTATGTTTCCCCCGTCTACACAGAGGCCTTTCTGGTGAGCGTCCACATGGGTAATAAGCTCATCAGTAACAGAACTAATTTAAATCCTTATCTGAGGCCTGTCAGTGGCCCAATCAAACAGCCCTGCTATTAGTCACATCCCCTGAGTCAAGCTGGCCCTGACTGTGGCAATGCCCGAGTGTGGAGGTGTGCGATAAATGTACATGAGTAGCAGTGAGGCAGCGTGTGGCGAGAGCTGCACTGTAAGTGGAAGGTCATAGAAGCCCCAGAGAGCCCCATCCCTCGGTTGACTGGAGCAGGGATGCCAGTGGTACTGGCTTCAGACCCAAAGCAGCACCTAGTGCTTTTCTACTTGGTGCCGGAGTTGCAGGGATCAGTCAGTCACTATGCTCCAGTGTCTAAGGAACAAGGACGGCAGCTCTTCTCCTTATTGAACTGTAACTTGGTCATGGGGCAGACAGTCCTCCCAGATGACAGAGGGACATTGGCTTAATCTGTAGTCCTGTTTATTTCTAAAAGCCAAGAAGGCCCTTGCATCCATTCCCAGGTCCATCCACCAGGAGGGGTGGGGAGAACAGGACTCAGGCCAGGCACAGAGGCCCACTCATGTGGCTGCCTGCCGGGGCTGCCCACCTCCATCTGCCCACAGACTTCCTGGGGAGGGAGCAGAGAGCCAGGTGGAGTGGCTGGCCTGGCCTGGTCGCAGGCTGGCATAGGACAGTTTGCCAGTGGGGAGGCACGGGGAGAGGTTGCCAGTGTGCAGCACAGACATCCCTGCCCCCATCTCCGCCTCTTCCTCCCCTGCTTCTCTGCCTTTGAGCCTTGTGTACACCCTCCTGTCGGGTGTTAGCAGTGGGGGCTTTACTTGGGTGTGAGAAACATGGAGGCAGGCCCCACTGTGCCCCCTCACCACTGCAGCTGTTGTGCCCCTTCACCCCTGCAGGTGTTGCTGCCACTACTGCTGTCAGAGTACCCGGAAACCCAGTGACATGGAGTCAATGCTGGCTCATAGACTATAGGACTGGATAGAACTGCCCCCTGTGAGTCTTTATGGGAGTAGAAAGCCCCATCTTTCTCCCTTGGAGTTGCTGGCAGTTTTGAACTGCTAACTTTTCAGATCGCAACCCATCTTATGGGTCACCAGAGAGTTTACTGTGAAAGGAGGGGGCATGCACCAATGTGCCCGCCATGGTGTCACTCTTCTGGAGAGGGTCTCAGATTCTAAGGTCTCTTCCACGCCACTGGGCAGAGTAGTCAGTCACCAGGGGCTTTGTATCTTTTTATTCCCTCCTCCCATTTCAACCCTTCACGCATTGTTCGACAGAGCATTTGTCAGCACTGGGGACCTATTTTAAAGGTACTCTGCTTGCTGCAGCCCCTCCGGCCTTACATTCCTCTGTTGAGAACAGACCGCTGCCATTCTGCACATGTGCCCTGCAGCTCCCGTGAGCATTGCTCCAGACCCACTGATAGGTTTGACTAACCTCCCTTATGGGTTGAGGCTCACAAGTATCTTAGCTCAGGCAGACTTTCTGGTTTAGGGACCGAGAGTACTTTTGGGTGCAGCTGCACCCTTGGGATAGTCTCCATCTGTCCATTTCTCACTCCCTCATCGTGCCATGATGCATGGCAGTCAAGCCAGGGTCCTTGGATGCCAACAGAAGCACAGTTTACCCACAGGCATTGGACGGAACAAGCCTACTTGGGTGAGGTAGAACAAGGTCAGCTTCACCTGTGCACACCAGTCCTCCAGGGCCAGCGGTCGTTTCCCAGGGCTGCTGCACACACCTCTCAGGCCTCAGCTGAGAGCTCCATTCCCTCCATATGAGGAACGGATAGAGAGGTGGGGTTGGCCACATTTCCTATGGTCCGCACACATGAGCAGAGCAGAGCAGAGAAAGCCCACTCTGTTCCCATAAGGAGCCGAAACCGCAAAAGAGACTGTGTTAGACAGGGTTCTCTAGAGAGAGAAAACCAAATTCTTGATAATATAATATATTTATTTATAAAGGTAATTAATATATTACAAGAAATGAAATGTTAAATCATAAAGATAATTAGATATATAATGAGAAATGAAATGTTAAATCATATACAGATAAATATACAATCTTAAATCATATACAGATAAATATACAAGAAATAAACAGTTAAATTAGAAGCACTATAAATGGCTTAGTGCAACTCAAAAACATATACAGATAAATATACAAGAAATAAACAGTTAAATTAGAAGCACTATAAATGGCTTAGTGCAACTCACATCCGTGAGAGAAAGTTGAGAGACTAGCAGTCCTTCCAGTCTCTATCTGATGCCAGATCTTCCTCTATTTGTAGAGAGAGCTAGGTTATGTCAGCACAGCAGCCAATCACAAGGCAAGTCACCAATTGCCAGTTCCCAGCTCCAGAGAAGTCTTAAAGGGACCTCAACTTACAGCAACACAGTCCACAGGCTAGGCGTCCCACAGGCTCTGTAGCCTTTAAATTAAAGCACAGAACAAGCAAGGCAGCCGCACACTGGTCCGATGATCACAGAGCGAGAGACAAGAAAGGCAAGGCTCACCAAGCCATCCATCTCTCCACCCCTCAGTCAATCCCACCTGCGTTTATCAGCCAGGCTGGCACAATAAACTGTCTCAGAGACAGACTCCAATAGGCCCAAGGTTTCTGGGGCTGGGAAGGCTCTGAGAGACCACTCTTCCATTGTCCCAGTGTGCGTAGCGAACGCTTGGTAAATGAAAAGCTAATCTGTTCGCATTTGTTGAGTACTTAGTGTGCATAGAGTACAGCTGTTACAGTTGGCTCGTCTCGGTGGTCACACACAAAGAGAATTTGTAGAGGCCACTTCTCTCTGCGGCTCTTTGCTCATTTTGAGTATGAAACGGCCGGAACCAGGATTCCCTTTTTTCTTGTATGTAGTCACTGCTCCTGTTAAGCAGTCATCATTCAGACCTAGGCACATTGGTCATGTGCTTGTCTTATAGCTCAGGAAGTAGTCATGAAAGTCAGAAGGCTGGTATGATAAGCTGACTCACACAGGATTGCTTTGTAAGGTTACTTGTAGTGATTTGCAAGGTAAATCACAGCCACCCACTCAGGATAACCAGGTTGCCCACACCTATTTCTGGCCATTGTATGGGAACTTCTTTAATAAGCATATTCTCTAGGAAAAGAAAAACCCTACAAAATTTAAGTGCGCTTTTATGTATATATGTGTGTGTGTGTATATATATAGGGCACCTATGTCATTAGTAAGTAGATCTCATGCTGATCGGTGACTTGACTTCATCAACATTCCAGGTAAATGGCTCTGGAAAGCTGGCCATATGATCACTGCTGATTGAGATACAATGCTCCCAGGCAAGTTTCTATAATTAATTACACAACAGAACCAGAGGCACAGAGCCATCTGATCAGATGTTTAATAAGATTACCTTCACTGCCTTCTCAAAGCATGTCTCCTCACAGTGCTTCATTCATCCTGAGTTGCAGGAGTGAGACACACCAGCAGGTGTTAATAGTTTAATGTCCTTTCTTTGAAGGACAGAGATGATGAGAGTGTCTGGCTAATTATGTGACTTTCTATTTTGTCACATAAATCTATGTTTTATAACATAACTGTATGGCCAGTCTGAGTAAGACACGGATTGCAGTCAGGCCTCGGGTCACCAGTTTCTGGCCTATGGCCAACTCCTAATTGCCCTTTCATGCAGGGCATTGAACCGATACAAATTGCTTCTCTCTTGGCCATTAAACAGGGACACCGAATTTCAAATTTTGGTTGACTCATCATAGTAATTATAGGTTGGTATAGGTTCAAGTCCTGGAGTGGGAGACCCAGAAGAGGCTTGGCACGACTGGAGAACCACACACCAGAGTGATGCAGTTGCCTGCCACCCTTAAGTGGCACGCCACCATCTTTAAACAACGTAGTGCTAGCTCCACTCTGCTTAATGGTTCCAAACCTTGCTTCACTGTCAGGTAACTGCCCTCACTTTGAAAAGCTTGAACCAACCTGTGCTTGCAACACAGTCTTCATCACAGTTGTCTGCACTTGCTGCATGTGCAGCTCTGCCTCTTCCTGCACTAACTTGAGGCTAAGCGGGAACCGCATGCATTTGTTCCCACTCACCAACCCAGTCCCTTTTCAGAGATCGAAGCCTGGAGACTGCCTGTTTTAAGTGAGTAGTGCACACATTTAGGTTTGTTTGAGGAAGGGTGGAATCTATACATTACATAAGTTACTAATAGTCAATAAAACTAGCTGGGAGAAGCAGGGAGAGCCTAGCTTTCATTTAACATCATGGTTTTATTTGGCTCTTTAGTTCTAGACACTTTTAACATAGGTGGTTCCATCGCATTTCTTCAGAATCTCCACATTGAAGCAAGATAGGGACTGAAATTGGAGACAGGTGAGCTCTGGGCTCGTTTTACTCAAGTATAGTGAGGAGGTACTAGGCTTAACAGTGAAAGGTAGGGTTCATTGGCCTGTCTGGGTTCAGATTCCAGCTGTCGGTTCTCCATTCACTGTGAGACCTTGGGGAAATTGACACCTCTGCCTCTGGTTCCTCATCTGGAAAGCAAGAATGATAAGACCTCCTACCTCTTAGTTGTTTCGAGCACTGGGTGAACACTTAAGACTGGCCCTGGCCCCTAGGACCTAAAAACCAGCCTACTGCCATGACGTCCACTCTGACTCCCAGCATCTGTCCAGGACAGAGTGGAGCCACACAGTAGGGTTTCCCAGGCTGTAAGTCTTCACAGAAACACATTGATTGCCACCGTGGTTTGCAGCCAAGCATTTAAACGGTGTGTCACCAGGGCTCCTGTAGCCCATAGTGAGTGCCCAACATGGATTAACTTCTGTTGTTACTTAACCATTCCATTCCAGATTCCCATTGACAGCATGACCAATGAGATGGAGCAGAGGGTCGAACCTCATAATGATTACTTCAGTACTCAGTTTCTGCTGAACTTTGCGATCCTTGGAACACACAACATTACAGTGGAGTCCTCAGTGAAAGATGCCAATGGTATCATGTGGAAGACTGGCCCCAGAACTACCATCTTTGTCAAATCCCTGGAAGACCCTTACTCCCAGCAAATCCGCCTACAACAGCAGCAAGCCCAGCAGCCATTGCAGCAGCAGCAGCAGCAGCAGCAGCAGCAGCAGCAGCGAAACGCCTACTCACGGTTTTAAGTACGTGGTGCCTGCACGACAGACTTTCGAAGGATCGGTCAGATTCAAATTGGCAGAAACGAATTGGCGTTTTCATATGGATTGAGTTATGAAAGTTATCATGTCCACTTACTGAGTTTTGTAATCCTTCTTGGGATTTTGTTTATTTTGCTGTTTTTTGTTTTGTTTACTTAAAAATCTGAGAAATAACTGAGTTCTTAGCCAGAAAGTTTTTTGGGTTTTTTTTCCTATTTCTTTTTAAACCGAGTCCATTTCCTCATGTTTACCATTTCTGCTGCTTGTTTACTATTTTGTGTTGTTGCTGAGCTTTCTTTCAAGGGCAGAGCCCCCCATTTGGATCATTGACTTAGTAAATGTGATGGCTTCTTCCCCACAATAGACCTTGGCTACCTGTTACAGACCTCAAAGCTTGGCCAGGAAAGTAGAAACTGAGGCCTTCCCTGTGTGGACCTGAGGGAGCCGGGAACAGACATTCTTCCAGCCAAACGGAACCCTCCTCCGGCCGCAGGCCTTCAGGGACTGCCTGCCGTTCGCGGTGCTGCAGCAGTCGTAGTTTGAGATTAGTTTTGAGGTGACCCAAAGGCCAGCTAGCAGTTACATAAGAAGAGTTGAGATTAGTGATTTGTTCATTTTTTTTAATACGTGTGTGGCTGTATATTATGGAATTTTTACGTGTTTTTAAAATTGGAAAAAACATCATTCACAGTTAATGTCTTACCATTTGTAAAGATGGGGACATTTTGCCCTTTGATCTGGCTTGGTTTCTGTTTGGTAAGTTAGGTAATGCTCAATTGTCTAGTGAGGGCACAACCTCAAGTAGTTAGGATGCTCAGGGACTGGAGTTTTCTGGTTAGTCAGAAACCTCCTCCCCCCCATTGTTGTTTTTTATTTTAATACTGGTTGGAAACCATTTTAAAGTATAATAATATGCTTTCATGCCTTAACACAGTGCACTGATATAATTTATGTTTGTTTGCTTTCATGATTTGGGATCACTTAATACTTCGGGGTTATGATTTCTAAACATCAGGCCTCCAAGGATTGCTGCTGTCGATGCTTTGTAGCAATTGGACACAGCAGCTTCCACGTGCAGCTCCCAAGATGAAGCCGGCCTTACTCCCTGGAAACTTCCTTTGAAAATAAATCTTAATTCTTTCGCTAGTTTTGCCTTTTTTCTTCTTCCAAATTGACATCAATTCAAAGGACAGTGTTTGAAAGAGAAATAGGAGGGACGCGGCCTTCTGTGTGGCTTCTAAGAGCAAGATGTGATTGGCAACTTAGGTACCTCCAAAGTCCCTTGGCTGCATGAGTTATTGCCCCAGCTGAACCCATAGTGAGAACATTGTCCATGTCCACTGAGTGACAGCCCTTAGATGCAGCCCAGTGGTGTACAGCACATAGTCCACCCAGTTGTAACAGCATCTGCGTACAACAACCTTAGGAGTGCTGTGGAGACGTGTGCAGAGCCCCTGCTCTTTGACTGGACAAGGAAAGAGCTGACTCAGGAAGCCTGGGTTCCTGTGGGCTCTGATTGGATTAGCTCGATCAGTGATTTGATTCAAGTCCCATGATCTCAGCCTAATTGTCGTTGTCTTCAAAATGACTGAATTAAACTAGATTTTACTTAAATTAAGCAGAACTCTAGATCTAGTCTAGAATTTATTATCAGATGAAAAAGGTCAACATTTCCTATTTTGAGAACAATCTGTTTGCTTCAGAATTAAACGTTGCCCTGGGTGGAAATCAGGTTTCAAGTGCTGCTTCCAGGCAAAGTCCTCCAGGAAGATGAGAGAAACCCATCCTCTGAGCCACCAGTTCCCTTGGAGACCGTCCCAGACTGTATCTTTGGAAAATAGGCTTTACTAGTGATAGATGAAAGCTCTTAAAAGTTGTGTACTACAAAAACAAAAAAGAGTGTGTACTACAAAGCCCTTTACCCCAACTTGGGGTGGAAACAAGCCCATTTCCGTCAAATGGGTTTCAGTTCAGGACTCCACGTATTACAAGAAGGGTTCCATGAGGTTTCCTGGGAATACCCAATTAGGTAATACGCAATTTCTAGTGAGAACAGTTTTATTCCTAGTCGGATAGTTTTTTGATCTTCATAGCAGAACATACTCTGTCTCAGTTGTGTGTACAATTCCCTGACATTGACAGTGATTATACTCTTCAAGTTGCATGAGCATTCTCTTCCTCCTGGCTGTAATATTGACGGATGCAGAGCCCCAGGCCTTTCTCCCCTGGTGCCACTGGGGGTTTCAGCCAGCCTTCCAGTTGGCAGAGTGTCGACCATGTGTGCCACCTACTGACCACAAACTGAAAAGGCACGGTTAAAAACATACCCAAAACAACCAACCATATTGTTGTGAATGAGGTGGGTCAGAGCAGAGACCCAAAACCCATCTGTGGACAATGGGACTCCGCACAGAAGGGTCACAAGGAAGGGGTGAGTCAACCAGGGTGCAGTATAGCACTTTTGAAACACAATATTCATCTGGTTCCTTGAGGCTTCCTCACCCCCCACCCCACTTTCATGACCCCAGTCCTGCATTTCACTGCGGGCTTGACCAGAGCCATGCACACAGGTAGAGTTATGAGTTCACGACACAGGAATGGGAACAGGAGTAGCAATACCAGGAGGGTAGGGGGAAGGTAGGGAGAAGAGGGAACTGATTGCAATGATTGACACATAAACACACACCCCACCCCCAAGGGGATGAACAATAGAAACCATGGGGGAAGGGAGACAGCGGTCCGTGTAAGATATGAAAATAATATAGAGAGGGGACACAAGGTGGGGGGAGGGAGGGGAAAAGAGCTGATACCAAGGGCTTGATTGTAAATGTTTAGACAATAATGGCAACATATGTACAAATATGCTTGATAGGTTTGATGTGTGGATTGTTCTAAGAGTTGTAAAAGCCCCCAATAAAATGGTCTTTTAATTAAAAAAACATAGCTTGGGGTATGAATATAGCTAGCAAGCAAAAGTATTAAATATCTTGGTTCATTATGTTCATTAACTCAGACGAAGATTCTTGTCTGATTTTACATTTGGGATAATGCACTTCATTCTTGGCATTCACTGTTAAAAACTATTTGAGTTGGGAAAAACTTTATTTCAACCCTAGACTAATGAATGGGGGGGAAAGGAAGATGCAGAAAGAGATAAATATTAATTATGGTGTGATAATGCTCCTTGAATTCAGAAACACATTAAAAACGGATTAGGAGCTGATTGAACCTGGTAAGACAGGGCTCATTTCGCTCAGTTCTTGTGACTTTGCAGTGCAGCATGGTAGCTCCGAACAGCCTCTGGGCCGCACTGCCCAGCTTCAGATCGCCCAATCGTGGTGGTCCTGGATAATTCATCTGTGAGCCACTTTCCTCATTTCTGAAATAAGGAAGCATATCAGAGCTACGAAGATTCATTGAATTAATACAGAAGCCACATGTAAAGCACTTGGAACGTACCTGGCACATAGAAAGTGCTTGCTATTATTCTTACTGCTCTTTCTAGGCTCACTTTCCACTGATAAACCAGTTCTTCGTCTTACTATTGTATGTATTCTCATGAAACGTACCTTTTCTTTGCCTTGTGGCACTGTCAGGACGTGTTGGACCGCTAACCACAAGGTGTATGGTTCGACAGATCGATGGCCTTGGAAATCCTACCTAGGGTTCTGTGAGTGTCCAGGCATCCCCACTATTGAACACACGTAAGGAGCCCGGGTGGTTACACATTGGGCTGCTTTCCCGTGATCAGCACTTGGAAACCAGCAGCAGCTCCTCGGGAGGACTGGGCTTTCTACTCCTGTACACCAGGGGTCTGGTTCTGCGTCAGCATGGACTCCATGTTAGTGAGTTTGGTGTCTGAAACACATTGAAGATATCTTCCCTCATATTCAGTTGGGGTATAGAATAGGATAATGTTGAACTAATAAACAAAATGGAATTGCTACCTAATACAGTGCTGTAAATCCTACTTAAGATATATTTTTTAAAAGCACACCAGGAAAATGAAATAGAATACTTAGGCTGCTGATCACCTTCATGGTGATAATAGTTGGTTGACTACTTAGACATTAAAGTATTTGCTGTATTCCAGCTTAGGAACCCTGGTGGAGTAGTGGGTACACATAAGCCTGCTAACTGCAAGGTCAGCAGTTCAAAACCACCAGCAACTCCAAGGGAGAAAGTAGAGGTTACCTATTCCCATAAAGAGTTACGTCTTAAAAACTCATAGGGCAGTTCTGTCGTGTCCTGTAGGACCACTATGAGTTGACTCAATGGCAATGAGTTTGGTTTGGTTTGGGTAGTCCACTTTAAAACAAGAGATCGTCTAATGACCTTTCTAGCCCAATCCAACCAAGATGGCAGATAGTTTGCAGCCAAAGGTAGTAAATCACTTTCCACAATCCAGCAAGACCCGCAGAGTAGGCTTCCGGAGATGTCCATTTAAATTCCACTTAGAAGACAGATTTGCCCTGGGTCCTTAGGTCACTTGATCTTTCTCACCACTACCTGCCCACATCCCTGCTACTTGGTATGTAGCACTGTCCACTTGAGCTCATTGTTGTGGTGACAGTGTTGAACTATCCACTCAGCCACCAGGGGTTGTGAGTAGCTGAAATGTGGCTAGTACTGGTGAGGAACTGTTACTTCTAAGTCACTGAAAATTGAAG